CTCACTATGTAGACCAGGCTGGCTTTGAACTCAGAGATCTACCTGCTTCTGCCTCCCAAGCCTGGGATTAAAGGCGTGTGCCACCACACTTGGCTCTTCTAAAGAATCTTCTAGAAACAATGGCTACCAAAGTAAGCTTCTTACCCTGTCTGCCACCTTTCCGTTGTCATCTGTTCACTTTGAGACAGTCTCTTGTAATCCAGACTGGCCTCAAACTCCTGTAGCTAGGGATGACTTTGAACTCTTGATCCTCCTGTCACCACCTCCCAAGTGCTAGGATTGCAGGTATGTGCCACTCTACCTGACAAAAATGAAACTGGACCTTAAACGTTGTTTGTTTCTTGGAGATGGTGTCTCCCTGTTACTCAGGCTGGCCTTAAAAGTTGATACTGCTTTGGCCTCTGGCATGTTGGGATTACAGGTAGGAGCACACGTGCCACATCTCAGCACCTTGCCCTTGTTTCGTAAAGAGCCTCAGCCACAGCGTCACCTCAGATTTACAAGCAGGACTGCAACCCTGCTGGCTCAGAGTCTGCATTTTAACCAGTCGCCCAGGTGATTGGAATTCTCCTTACAATGTCCCAAAGATCTAGTGCAAAGCCATCATTTTAGTAACAGGTGAGGAAATAGCCCCTACAGTTGGAACAATTTTTTTTAGCTGGTTTAGAGTGAGAGCCAGAACTTGAATCTAGAGTCCCTCCTTGGCTCTTAGTAGGATTGGGTCTGTGCTGTCACCCCTGTTAAGAGGTGCTGTGAGTTTTTTTTTTTTTTTTTTTTAAGACTCAGAAAGGTGAAGGTGCCTATAGATTGACTCCTTACTCATTTTTCCCTCCATTCCCTGCCTTCCTGCCTAAAACCTTATTGATTGAATACCACTTGCCTTCACAGTACTATCAGAACATGTTCATTACAGATAACTTAGCTTTCTTCATCCTCCGTATTCTCTTCTCAAAAATCTGTCATGTCATCTGAGAGTGGTGGTACACATCTGTACTCCCAGCATGTGGCAGGTGGAGGAGAAGATCAGGAGTTCAAGACTAGACTGGGCTGCATGAGACCCTGTTCCAACAATCTGCCCCTACCCATTATATCTGGATACTATAAAATACTTAGGTATTCAGAACTTTTTTTTTTTTCGCTCCATGCCACCCAGTATTTGAAGCTCCCATTCATTTCTTGTGACCCAGTATTGTTTTCAGGAATAAACTGAAACGGGGGAACTGTTTGCACGGCAGCTGTTTGAAGAGTAAAAGATCTCTAAAACAGTGGGAAGGGACCAGCTGGCCTTTAAGAGCAGTTGCTTGTTTCTTTACAAAAATAGAAGTGCTACTCTGCTCCTCAGCTCTGTTGCAAGTACAACGCCCACACTGCCCGGAACACATCTATGAGCGCAGCTGCAGAAGTGACTCGGAGGTATTTTTTATGAGGCATTAATGGCGCATTTCACCTTCTTCTCTTTTTTTTTGAGATGGGGTCTCCCTGTAGCTCCAGCTGGCCTCCATCTCACAGAGCTCTGCCTGCCTCTGCCTCCCAAGTGCTGGGATTAAGGTTATAAATGTAATCTTGATGTAAGTTACTTGCCTTGTTATGTAATAGAAGAAAATGGATTCAGAAGTTGTAATGAAATAATGTGTATGAAAGCGCTAATGAATTTTTGTTGTAGTTTTTGAGGGTGATCTAACATAGAGCTTCACACATGCTAGACAAGTACTCTATCTCTGAGTTCTGCCTACAGCTTTTTGGGAAAAAATTAAAAATAAAACTTTGGGGCCATGCTAGGAATTGAATACAAGGTCGTGCCTATGCTGGGCCAGTGCTCTATGACCGAGCTACACCCTCCAGCCTTTGGTATTTTGTGCCTTGGTCTTGTTATGTGGCTCGGGCTAACCTGAACTCACTTATATAGTTTGCAAGTCTGTCTGACCTTGCAGTCTTCCTGCCTCTGACACCCAAAGGATCACAATTATCTGTTTCTTCTTTTGGAGAAAAAAAAATTTTTTTTTTTTTTTTTTTGAGATAGGGTCTCATATAGCCTAGGCTGTCCTTGAACTCTCTTTAGCTGAGGATGACATTGAACTCTGGGCCCTCCTGCTTCTGTCTCCCCAGTGCCAGGATCACAGGTGTGTACCACCATGCCTGGCTCCCTCTAAGGTCAGCACTGCTTCCTTGATCTGTTGGCCTTACACGCAGCAGTATTTGAGCCGTCTCTGTCTAGAACCCTTAAGTTTGCCTTTCTTCTTCTGGTGAATTGAACCTGAAAAAAATCTCCGCTGTAATATTAAATTAGTATCAAGATCCCTCAGCTGTACATGGCAGTTTTTTAAAATGAGTAACTCCAGTGTTGAAAGGGACTGACGAGTGCATAGAAGAGAGGCTTGACTTTTCTTTGATAAATACGTCATTTCCTGGTTAAAGTTTTTTAACTATACAAAGAGTAAAAGTGTCTACAAAATGTCTCTTACATTGAAAAGATCTTACTAAGTTTCAAGAAAATACTGGAGTAATAAACTATGATTACAACTCTTGATTATTCTGAAGAGTAGAAGAGTAGGAATCACATAGCAGTTAAGACCTGGTGCTGAGAGGATTTGGGGTAGAAAGGAGTTGCCAGTTCCTTTCAGTTCCTTTCAGATGCTGTGGTTCTAGGCCATAGCTTCAGTTATAGACACAGTTACAATCATAGCTTTATGTCTGGTTACAAACAACATCATTTATCTTGTTATAAAGGTTGTTTTTTAAGAGCTTTATAATTTGGAGTAACTCGGTGTTTGTCTTCTAGGCTCACCAACAGAGCAGGCGAGCAGACCGTTTGCTAGCTGCTGGGAAATACGAAGAAGCAATTTCTTGTCACAAAAAGGCTGCAGGTAAGAATTGTTTTTAAGAAATGCTGAGGATAGCAGTTGACAGGCTGAGGCAGGAGGATTGCCATGAGTGCTAGGCCAGCCTGACTGCCAAGTGAAATTCTGTCTCAAAACAGAGAAACAGACCTAAAGAGCAAAGGTACTTGAGTAAAAACAAAGAAGAGCAGGTTCTTTTCCCACTCTGGGTGAAACCCACAGCTGCAGTGAGTATGTTGAAGATGCAGGGCAGACATTGCTAACCCACCAGTCACCAGCTTTGATGGGTTTTCAGGTGAGTGTGCTGGATTCCTCAGGCCTTTCCTAACAATGAGTCTCATGTAGTTTAAATGGTTGTTGAGTGGCAAGAAGTCTGCCAGTGCATCCTAGACAATCTGAAGGAACTGGGTTTCACATAGTTAGCTATGGCAGGCTGTTAAAGTAATGCTGATACCAACCAGTTCACTTTTAGAGTTTCTTTTCTATGCTGCTGATAAAATAACTCCATCAAAGCTTCCCTTTGGACTGTTTCATTTGATAATGCACGTGTTGTTAGTAGCTGTCATTTACGTGTGAAGTTTTAGAATTACTGGCTTCTGAGGTTAGAGGTGGAGCTTAGTAGATGAGTACACACTTAGCATGTGTTGGTCTCCTAGGAGAAACCAAAATTTCTGAGTTAGGCAGCCTTATAAATAGATCTTGGGGACCTATTTTACAAAGGCCACTTTCTGTTGGCTGGGTAACAAACCCCAAAGCTTTGGATGGAGGGAGTTAACTCGTGTTGTATCCAAAATGAGGGTTGGCCACGTTTTTAGCGCAAGTCCTGCAGTCTTCTACTAGAAGGCACTTTTCCTTCCCTTTGATGAAGGCCATGTTCTCTCCTGGCAGAGAAAAGAATGTTAATCTGCTGTTGAACTACAGACTCACGGTAGACACAGATTTGGATAAACCCCTGGTAGTGGGTTTTGCCTGTGAAAAATATTTTGGTAGTGGGTTTTGTCTAAGGGGGAGTTTTTTTGTTTGTTTGTTTTGTATAGACAGGACCTTGCTATATCACCCTGGCTGGCCTAGTACTCATGTAACCCAGGCCTACTCTATAAACTTGAGCAATCCTCTGTCCTAGCCTGCTGAGTGTTTGGATCATGGGTATGCACCACCACACAGCTGAAACATTTTTTAAAGAATTGAGTTTTAGGCCAGGTGTGGTTGTGCATGCCTCTGGTCCAGCAGAGGCAGGTGGATCTCTGTGAGATCCAAGCCAACGTGGTCTACATGGTGAGTTCTAGTCCAGCAGGGGCTTGCATAATGAGAACATAGCTCTAAAAATTGAAACAACCCCCAAACAACAATTAGTTTTAGGAGCTGGAGAGATGGCTGCTCTTGTAGGGTAACTGGGTTCAGTTCCCAGCACCCCACATGGTGACTAATAACTGTCCTTAACTCCAGTTCCAACAGATGTGGCAGCCTCTTCAGGCATTATACGCATGGGTACACCTACATGCATGCAGGCAAAACATTCATACACTTAAAAACAAACTAGTTTTAGCTAAGGAATAGCTCATGCCTGAATGAGCTAGTAATGCTGGCATTTGGCAGGATGAGAGGCAGGAGGATCAGAAGTTTGAGGCTAGCCAGGGCTATATAGCCAACTATCCTGAAAAAAAGTCAACAACAAATTCATCCCTAAGGTAATCTTTTGTCTTTGAAGACGTCATACAACTGTGGGGGTTTGGGCAATGTCACTGAGTGGTACTTGGCCTAGTATGCTTGAGGCCCTGGGTTTTGATGGCCCCCTGAATACCACAAAAATAAAATGACACCATAATGCTTAAAGCTGCCGTTCAGCTTCAGATACCTCTATCCCCAGTCTAAATTCTGTGGCATTAACAGGGTAGAAAAGGTAAGAAGCAGCCTGTGAGATTGCATCATCTTTAGTTATAGAGATAGGATATTGTGATCAGTACAGCCCACTGAACCAGTTTGGAGTTTAGAAGCACTTAAAAATGGCTTTGTGTAGCCGGGCATGGTGGAGCACGCTTGTAGTCCCAGCACTTGGGAGGCAGAGGCAGGCGGATCTCTGTGAGTTTAAGGCCAGCCTGGTCTACATAGTGAGTTCCAGGACAGCTGGGGCTACAAGGAGACCCTGTCTCCAAAAAGAAAAAATACAGTTTTGCCCTGAGACATCTCATACACAGTGTCGGTCATTCTCTCTTACTGTTTTCACTGAAGATATGAATATGAATGTGGTGCCATCCAGACTTTGATTTTGCTAATTCTTCAGCACACCCACATCCACTCATTATGGAGGACAAACTGAGGTTCCCAGGGATGAGGCTAGGTGTCTGGGTCACAAGAGTGCATGGCTCTATGCACTTGTTTGCAGAAGTCACTAGTCTGATCACTGTCCATCACTGAGGGAAGCTAAGGCAGGAACTGAAGCAGAGAGTACGGAAGAGTGCTGCTTCCTGGCTTGCTTCCTTATGCAGCCCAGGCTCCATGGTATCAATTACTAGTTAAGAACATGCCTCACAGGCATGCAGTAAGCCGATCTAATGGAGGAAATTGACTGAGTCCCTTTTCCCAAGTCACTCTAATTTGTGTCAGGTGACAAAACTAACCAGCCAGCCTATTACTGAAAACCATTTTAGAGATGTGACAGGGAAAAGCCAAAGCTGAGAAAGAGTCATGGGACAGAAATCCTGAAATGAGAGGACTTAAGGGCAAATGCAGGGATGGGTCCTTATGTCTAGCAAGAATTGAGGCTGACACTAAAACGTTAACCCTGAGATTCCATGGCTAGGGCTCTAGTGCTTTGTAAATGTTTTGAAATAAGAGCTTGATTTCTTTTCCTTTTAAGGAACGGTGGGATCGATCTTTGATGTGGACAATGGCTGATTTGCATGAAACTGAGCATGTGGCATGAATTTTCGAGATAAGCAAGGAGAGCAAGTCAGGAAGGTTCAGTCCAGCTCTGGCAGGAGTGGTGTGGGTACAGTTTCCCATTTTGTATTGAAGTTGGTATAGCTACAGGCTCCTGAGGAACAATCTCTGTTAACAGCTGTCCCCAGGCCCTGAGGCTCATGTCCGTCTTGGTACATTTAGTATATTTAGGGACCCTGTCGAAGTCCCCACAATCTTAACTATTTCGTCCTAAAGCCTTAAATAAGTCCAAAGTCTCTAAAGGTTCGAGACAAACAGCATGAGCCCCTGTAGGAATCAGAAAACGAGTTTCTGCTCCCAAGATAAAATAGCCAGGACAAGCATTCCCATCAAAGCGAGTAAGAGACCTGGAGAGGAGAGGTCGTGTGCGAGGAAGAGACCTGTGGCATGGTGTGAGAGCTTCAGCAGCTCCTCCCCATGGCTTTGCGGGCTGTAGTCAGCGTGGCTGTCTATGCTTACTCCCTGGGGCTTCAGTAGGTGTTCAACCTTCCTGACATCCCTTTTGGAGACATCACTTGGCTTCACATTGTTTTTCTAGGAGTTGCCCATAGGAACTGCAAACTTGCCACATGTTGCTTCATCTCCCAGGCTGTCCTCTGAAATCTCAGTGGAAGTCTCAGTGACACCACACTCTTGCAATACCAGCATCACATGCAGAATACTAAAGCCTGCCATCAGCCTAGAGCAGTAGCCAGGTCCCACCCCGACTATGGATACAACAGCCTTTGAGTTCCTGGGCATCTGAACCTGGAAAAACATGTCCCTAGGTAACCCTGTGTGAGCAGGGCTCCTCAGAGCTCATAAGCCTGATGCCTATGGTCTCTTAATGCAAAGTGCTTACTCTTCCTCTCACCTCTCTCCCCCTCCCCCAAGAAAGGATCTCACTCTATGTTTCCCACACTGGCCTTGAACTTGTGGTCCTCTTCCTTCAGCCTCCCGAATGCTAGGATTATAGGCATGTGCCACCATACCTGGTCTTGGCTTCTTTTCAGGGACATGCTCTACCTACTACTGAGCTATGTCCCTAGTCCAGTGGCTTCTTTTTAATGGCACTGTTCATTTTAGCAACTACACTTCTCTGACTGCCTTTTGCATTCCTTTAGGCCAAACTGTAAGGTTTTTAAAATACTCTACTGTTCTCTCTAAATTCTCATTGTAAATTTGGTTAAAAGCAGCCAGCAGCTGGGCATGGTGGCACAGGCCTTTAATCCCAGCACTTAGGAGGCAGAGACAGGCAGATCTCTGTGAGTTCAAGGCCAGCCTGGTCTACATAGTAAGTTCTAGCCCAGCTGTGGGTACAGGGAGACCCTATCTCAAAAAAAGACCAAACAAACAAACAAAAAAAACCAGCCAGCAATACCATGCCATTGCTGAGTGCCAGATGCTTTGAAATGTCCTCTGCCATATTAACTAGTCTTCTTTAAACTCAGCCTCTCACAGTCTCAGGACAAAGACAAAATGTAGAAAGATTCTTTGCCAAATGTCACATGAATGTATATGGTCTGCAGCCTGGTTCCCAGCATCCTCGTTGCCATCTGGAGCCTCTGACCTGGGCTTTGCCGTCTCTATTCTGTCAGCATATGGTCCACTGTTTCCACCAAACTCTGCTAACAACCTTTTGTAGCTTCTTTAACCTCCCTGTCCACACTTTAGACTTCCTGCAGAGCAGTTCCAGTTCCAAACTACATACATAGGCAGTCCTAATAATGGCCCACTTCTTGATTCTAGTTTTTTGGGTTAAGTTTTCATCACCGACAACAATACCTAAGGAAATCAACTTTATAATTTAGTGTGTGTGTGAGGAGGAGGAGGGGGAGGGGGAGGTGGTCAGTTCTCACCATCCAAAGGTCTAACTGATCTCAGGTTTTCATAGCAAGTGCTCTAGAAAATCAGCTTTAACAAAGGAAAGATGGGGCCAGTGAGATGGCTTAGTGGGTCAGGGTGCTTGGAAGACAGAACGGTTCCCACAAGTTGTCCTCTCAGACATGCATGCACGGACGCACGCACGCACGCACACCATGGTACCATGTGAAGCCTTTAACACCTGAGTTTTCAGGGACATTCACATTCAGGATCTATCTAGTTGGCAAAGTGTTGCAGACCTGTAATTCCAGCACTCAGGAGGCCAAGTCAGGATATATGCTCTTGAGTATAGGAGCCCCCAGAGGCATCTGACCTCTGAACTGGTGCTACAAGCCGTTGTGAGTTGCCTGGTGTAGGTGTTGGGAACTTAAGTCCTCTGCAAGAGAAGTGCATGCTCTTAGCCGCTGAGCCTCCCTCCAGCCTCCGGAACCCTATTCCTTTGTTTACATCTTTCATTTCACATGCGCGTTCGTTCGCCTCAATGCATGTGTGTACACGATGTGCTTGTCAACAGAGGTCAGGAGGTGTGCGGTCCTCTGGAAAAGCAGTAATTGCTCTTAACCACGGAATCATCTTTCCAAGGGTCTTGGTCTTTCCCAAGACCCTTTTTTAAACAAAGATATATCCAAACCATGTCTGCTTTCTTTTGTTAGCCCAAAGAGGAAGTGTAAAAATTTCAGCATTGCCTATTTAAATTTAAACACATGAGGTCACCCAGAATTTGATCAAGATTAAAGAGAAGTTTTAAGTGTCTTAAGTGGTATTATTCATATTTTTAGGGATTTTTTTTTCTTTTCTTTTTTTTTGGTCTTTTTGAGACAGGGTCTCCCTGTAGCCCCAGCCGTCCTGGAACTCACTATGTAGACCAGGCTGGCCTCGAACTCACAGAGATCTGCCTGCCTCTGCCTCCCGAGTGCTGGGATTAAAGGCGTGCACCACCCACCCCCCCGGCCCTTAGGGACTTTTTTTGTTTTGTTTTTGAGACAGTTTCTGTGTAGCCTGGTTTTGAATTTGTGACCCTCCTATGTCAACCTCCTGAGTGCTGTGATTACGTGATGCCTGGTTTAGTCCTAGAATTCTTAAACTTTTTTTTTTTAATTTTTATTTTTGTGTATGAGTGTTTTGTCTGCATGGGTCTAAGTGCACCCATGGTGTTCAGTGCCTGTGGAAGTCAGAAGAGGGCATCGAATCCCCTGGAACTGGAGTTACAGATGCTGTTAGCTGTCATGTGGATGCTAGGAATCAAACCCAGGTTCTCTGTGAGAGCAGCCAGTGCTCTTAACCACTGAGCCATCTCTTCAGCCCCTTCCTAGGGGGTCTTAAATACCTAATTTTAGTAGGCTGTTGCAATGACTGAGAAACAGTCTGATAAAAATAGTTCTCATAAGGAGACTGAAATGATACGGTGCCAGTATCCAGATGGCTAACAAGTCATCAGTAGTCCCTTGGTACTTTTGTTAGCTGAGCGTTGGTCTCAGTAAGTTCTTAATTTTAATGCTGTCTAAACACATTCTTCTAAATCTTCAGTTCCTGAATCAAAATCTACAAATTTATTTGCTTATTTTGCAGTATTGATCGTGGTTATGGAACCTGGACCCTGCTCATACTAGATGACCACTCTGCTGTGGTTATGCTCCCATCTCCCTACAGGGCTTTTAAGACACAAAATTTTCAAAATGGGCATGGTGGCACACCTTTTATTCCAGCACTTGGGAGGCAGAGGCAGGCAGATCTCTGTGAGACCAGCATGTTCTACATAGCAGTTCCAGACCACCAGGGGCTACAGGGAGACCCTGTCTTAAAACAAACAAAAATTTTCCAAGATGGGTTAGGGAATATTTATATTTGTTTCCCACTAATATTCTTTTGGGAGAAGTTAAGAATAAGAATTCTCTTTAAAATCTGCCATTATAGCAGACTTGCTTACAAGGCCGGTTCTCATGAGGAAAAGTAAGCTCCCTTTAGCCTGTGAAGTATGAAATGACGGTGCTCATGTTATTGATTTTGTTTTGTTTTAACCAGCATATCTTTCTGAAGCCATGAAGCTGACGCAGTCTGAGCAGGTGAGAGACATGCTCTTAACGTCTCCAGCAAAGACTAGAAAGGATTTGGGGGGACTAGAGCGATGGCTCAGCAGTTAAGAGGGCTTGGTGCTTTTGCAGAGGACCTGAGTTTAGTTCCCAGGACCAACTTCCCAGGGCAGCTCATAACCATCTATAACTCTAGCTCCAGGGGATCCAACACCTCTTCTGGCCTCTGTGGGCACATAGACAAACTCTCACACAGACACACATACACTCATAATTAAAATCTTTTTAAAAAGGAAAGGTTTTCTTAGAGTTGAATTGTGTAAAAAATAAAGCTTTGTGCTTTTTATTGTATGAAAAATGGTAAAGAATAATTCAGAAAGGAAATAAAAACATGGCACCAGAAGCTGCTTTTGTTCTGGTTGCAGATTTCAGATTGCAGGCGTTTCCTTTAGAGACCCTCCTAGTAACATTCCTGGTGCTCCACTGGCCTTTGACACTAGCTCCAGTGAGGAAGCAGGCCTGGCCTGAGGGAACAACTGGGCTCCACTGTACCTGTGAAAGGCGTTGCAAATCTGAACGGGTCTCTGGGTTGTCTCTTAAAATCTTAGACGATACTTACACTGTGAAATCTGTTTCACCAATGATAATTGTCTTCTGTGCTTGGAAGCCTGTGCCTATAAAAATGTTTTCATCCTTGCCAGGCATGGTGTCGCACGCCTTTAGACCCAGCACTTTGGAGGCAGAGGCAGGCGGATCTCTGTGAGTTCAAGGCCAGCCTGGTCTACATAGTGAGTTCCAGGCCAGCTGGGGCTACAGGGAGACCCTGTCTTAAAAAGACCAAAAAACAAAACAAAACAAAAATGGTTTCATCCAAAGTGAGCTTTTCTGGTTTTTTTTTCAGTGCTAGGGTCAAGCCCAGGCTCTTGGCACATGCTAGAAAACATTTCTGCCAGCAAACTACATCCCCAGCACTAAAGAAAGAGGGAAGATCACAGATGAAGGGGTACAGTCCGTGGTGGGCATATTTGGGGCTCAGCCTTCCTCAGTGGCAGGAGCCTGTGGCATGTTTTGCTAATCTTTTTGGAGCAGGACGCAGAGAGCTGGCTGTAAAGAAGGCCTACCACAAGTGAGCCCCTTCTTCCATGCAGGCCCATCTCGGACAGATTCCACAGCCATCCACACCGCAGGGCTTGAGACATGAGCCTGTGGGGACATGTGGCATTCAAACCAGATCACTGGGCTGTTGAGACAGGACTGTTGGAATGGCAGATACTGAACATGACTAAAGCGCTTTCTGATACTAAGTTCTGCTCACTGACCTTTCCTTCTGTGTCACAGGCTCACTTATCACTGGGACTGCAAAGGGACAGCCACGTGAAGCAGCTCCTCCTCATCCAGGAGAGGTGGGAGAGGGCGAAGCGGGAGGAGAGGTTGAAAGCACAGCAGAACGCAGACAGGGACACAGCTCTCCACCCGCAGGTATCTCACAAGCCCTCTGAGGACATGGAGCGCCAGGGCCCTCTCGTCGCTCAGAAACACATCCCTTCCACAGAGAAGCGCCCTGTTGAGGTGCAGGGGGTCTTTGACAGGGATCCAGACACGCTGCTATTTTTGCTTCAGCAGAAGAGTGAGCCAGCAGAGCCATATATTGGAAGCAAAGCCCCAAAAGACGATAAAACGATTATAGAGGAGCAGGCAACCAAAATTGCTGACTTGAAGAGGCACGTGGAATTCCTTATGGCCGAGAATGAAAGACTAAAGAAAGAAAATAAACAACTAAAGGCTGAAAAGGCCAGACTTGTGAGAGGTCCAGCCGAGGAGCTGGACATGGACGCTGACTTCGTGGAGAAGTCGGAGCTGTGGAGCTTGCCGCCACACTCGGACAGCGCCACAGCCGCTGCCACCTGGCAGAAGTTCGCAGGGAGTGGCGGGAAGGCCAAGGACATTCCGATACCCAGTCTCCCCCCGTTGGATTTTCCGTCGCCAGAACTTCCGCTTATGGAGCTCAGCGAGGATATTCTGAAAGGACTTATGAATAATTAAAATGGAAGGCCATTGGTGGGGGTGGTGACAGCTAATCCAGAGGAGAACTCAGAGGAAAGCCACGCCCAAGGGGGATCCCGGAAATACCCCACCCGGGTGCTGTGGGCAAGAGGCAGTGCCAGGACTCAGGAAAGTCACTGTGAAAATGTCGCCGCCGCGTCTCTGATTCTCAAGCTCCAGATTCCGACTTGGCAGACACTAAACTCTTCAGAGGTTCACTTTCTTCTGATACAAACCAAATGGCTACCTGGAATAATTTTTTTCAAACAATTATTTTTCTTCAGGGTTAAAATATGTAAACGTATGTCATGTGTAATTAATCTATAATGCCATAAATGATAATGCGAAAGCTAAATATGGTGGCCTGAGAGGCTCACTTGTATTTGGAACATGCTTTCTGTCATGCATTGACCGTATGCATCTTATGCACATTGTGTTTGTTGAGAGAGGGTGTAGAAGATTCACCCTTCCAGACAGAGCTGTGCCACAGTCTGCACTACTCATAATAATAACCTCAAGACTATCAGGAGAAGTATTTAAATTTCCATTTTAGGAGGAACCAAATTATTAGTTGCGCTTTTTTTAAGAAAAAAATTACCAGTTTACATAATTAATCAGGGTGCATTTTAAGTTCTAACTTTGTGTTCTATAATGCATCATTTGGAAAGACCAAGGAGATCTCCTTTGTTGTGAATGATGCGTGTGTGAAAGTCAAGTGGCTAGCAGTATTTGATTGTAAGAAATCAATAAAGTAATTGTGTTTCATACCGTTGTTGAAAGTGGCTGGTGGTTTTTAAAAGCAAGATATCTGTGTTGTCCACTGTTTGATTTTTTTTTAAAAAATTTATATGCCTGTGTGTATGTACATGTACCCATGTCACGCAATGCCCGCAGAGGCTAAAAGAGTTAGATCCCCTGGACTGGAGTTATGGATGGCTGTTAACAGCCATGTGGGATGTCGGTGCTGGGATTGGAACCTGGGTCCTCCACAAGAGTAGGCGGTGCTCTTAACTGCTGATCCAGTTGTCTAGCCACCCCCTGTCCCCCCTTTTGAGATAGAAGCCAGGATGTCAAAGCTACCCTGAGACTAGGATTTTGTTCATGAGTATATTGCCTGCATTGTAGGTAGGTGAACCCATGTTGTGTGGTGCCCATGGAGGTCAGCAGAGAGCACTGGATCCCTTGGAACTGGAGTTATGGACAGTTGTTAGCTGCTGCTGTGTCGGTGCTGGGATTCGAACCCAGATCCTCGGAGGATCAACCAGTAGTCTTAACCACTGAGCCATCTCTCCAGCCTGTTTTTTTTTTTTTAAAGCAGTTTGCAGTGTTCTGTGTGTTTTCGGAAGCCTGTGCACACTTAGTACTCCTGCTTATTTAACCTGGTTCTGTGTTGTTGTGCTCAGCTCAGTGTGTTTAGGAGGGTATGCTGCTCTATCCCTTTCTGTGCCAAGCTAGACAGAGATAGGCCTGGCCACCCCTGCCTGGAGCCTGGGTCCGAGAACACATAAACACCTCATCTATGGGAGGTGTGCTAGGACTGCGCTGGATCCAAACAGGCATCAAAGGTCAAGAGACTCCTAAAAGGCAGATGGCACAGAACTTTACCCAGCATGCTGAGTGTAGAAGTAGGAAGATCATGAGTTCAAGGCCAGCAGCTTTGGCTCCGTAGAGACCCTGTTCCAAAACCCACAAGTGACAACATTCTGCATGGGGGGAGACTAACAGGTGCTTGTCCTTCTGTGGCTCCCCTGGGGGTCAGAAGTGTAGAAAGCCTGGCTTAGTTTTCATTTTCACCATTCAGAATAGCTCCAAAACCTCTTTGGCCCTGTGCCATGGAAACCACAAAGCAAGCTGTACCACAGCTTTATCCAGATAAAATTTCACAATCAGTTCTTTTAACAGTCTTGACTTCCTAATGTTTTATCAAGGAATATTACTGAAATTAAAATTTTTCTCTAGATGAATCAATTGAAAACAGTATTAAGAAAAAAAAAAAGTTTTATGTGTCATGTGTGCCTGTATATGTGCACGAAAGAGTAGCCCTCAGGCCGGAAGAGAGCATTGGAACCCCTTGGATTGGAGTTATGGGAGGTTGTGTGCAGCCAAGTGGGTGTTGGGAACTGAACCTGGATCCTCTGCAAGAGCAGTAAGAAGGGGTGCTGAGCCATCTCTCCAAGCCCTCTTGCTTTTGACACTGCTTTCTGTTTCACTTTTGGATGTCAATTGCTAGGACTTTTCAAAGCCCTGTTTTACATATAAACAAATTGGGGTCTAGAAAGCTGAGTTCTATGAAGCTGTGTATGATAATGGAAGTGGCACTGAGCAAAAGAAAAGTGTCAGTGTACCAGGGGCGGGGATGCGAAAGGGAGATGTCATCTTCCTTTTGTTGGCCAAGGGGCCTGGCCACCCAAACCTTGCTTGAGGTCTACAGTTCCAAGCTCTTTGCTTTCCAGAGAACAGCTGGGGATTGAAAGCACAGCTGATGAGCACTGAGGAGAGGATTTTGTGCCTGATGTGGCGGTGCACACCTAGAATCCCAGATGTGGGGATGCACACCCAGAATCCCAGATGTGGCAGTGCGCACCCAGAGTCCCAGATGTGGGGGTGCACGCCCAGAATCCCAGATGTGGGGGTGCACGCCCAGAATCCCAGATGTGGCAGTGCGCACCTAGAATCCCAGATGTGGCGGTGCGCACCCAGAGTCCCAGATGTGGCGGTACACACCTAGAATCCCAGCAGGCAGAGGGACCACTGAAGTTTGGACAGTCTGGACTACATAGTGAGGCCCTTTCGAAATAAAATGTATTTTGGTCTTTATTCCTATGAGGGAACTTGGTGGGTCTCTAGACAAAGTCTGGTCAACCTTAGAAACCAGAACTTGACAGCTATCCTTCCAGAAAGGCAGCTGGGATCGAGACACTCAACAGTTGATCACGCCTGTATGATGACACCTTAAAAATCCCAACTGTGGCAGTGGGCAGATGACCATGTGTGCCAGGAGGCAGAAGTCTGTGCCCTTCTCCAAGCACCTCTCGTTCAGTTGTTCCTGAGCTTTATTCTTCATAAAATGGGTTAATATATTTCCCCAAGCTACTGTAGCAAAGTAACCCAGTTTAGTGCAGGGGCAAGTCAGACCCAGGACTTGTGATTTGGTCTGAAGTAAGCTGTATGCAGGAGAGAGCGTTCACTGGTCTGTGGGGCCAACACCATATGCAGGTTGTCAGAACTGAGCAAAATTCAAGGACACCCAGTTTGGGTCCGGAAAATTAGGGGAGGAGAAAACGCGCACCTAGAAGCACTTGAGTGGAGAGGAAAACCACTTGGCATTTCCTCATTCTGACCATTTGGTGAAAACTCGTTCTTACTGGTAAAAAGCTTTGAGTCGTCTGTCCTCTCCCTCACATTCCCCCTCCCCACCCCCAATGGTAATTCTCCACCTTGCCACCTTGGAGGTCACCAGTTCAGCTGGAATGGTGGCTGGCTAGGGAATTCTAGGGACCCTCCTCTCTGCCTCCCCCAGTACTGGGGTTACAGACATGCCACCATGCCTGGCCTTTCACTTGGGTGCAGGGGCCCAAACCCAGGGGCTTAGAATTGCACATGAAGCACATTACTGACCAGCCAGCTCTCCAATCACAGTCCACTTTTTGATAGTGACCCTTGTGTGGACAGTTGTGGCAACCGTTTTAATGCTAAATTGAATGCTACTAGCTAGAGGCAGGCAGTGTGCTACGGGGTCCCGGGTTCCTTCAACCATCAGGGATGAGAAAGGACTGAGTATTCCAGTACATTATCACTACACTTTGTCATAATCCCTGTTAGCATGACTGATGGTCTCAGTAGGCAGGTGAAATGGCTGGTCATTTGCTCGCTCTTTAAAGGAGACCTCAGCTGGCTTTCCAGCTATGGCCTTTGAGAAGCCACTGCTGGCCAACAGCGCCATCTGATGGACAGCGAGAAGCTAGCTCTTAGGTCGGCGTTCATCGTTCAGGAAAAAGAACCCACACTAAGGTCCAAAGAGCGATGACAGAAACAGGCAAGGCTGACACAGGCACTATGAGTTTTGCTGCTATTCTACACATTTAGGTAGGTTCTTTTTAAAGACTGTGTGTCCACGTGAGGGCATGTACACATGTGCCCGCCTATCCGCTTCTGGAAGCCAGAAGATCCTGAGTGTCCTCCACTGTCACTCTCCACCTAGCCCTTTGAGGCAGGCTCTCTTCCTGAACCTCGAGCCCTTTTTATTTCATTTTTAATTATATGTATGTCTCTGTCAGTATGTGGATATGTACAGGTGTCCACAAGACCAGAAGACAGCATCAGATCTCCTAGAACTAGAGCTACAGGTGGTTGTGAGCTACCCAATGAGGGTGCTGGGACCTAAACCCTGGCCCTTTAGTGCAAGAGCACTAAAGGCTATTAATGGCTGCCTGCCTGGAGTTCATTTCTCAGCTAGGCTGGAAGCCAAGAAGCCCCAGTGATCCCATTTCCACACGCCTAGGAGCTGGGGTTATAAGCATTTGTAAGGATACACAGCTTGCTATGTGGGTGCTGGGGTCTGAATTCCAGTTCTGACTGCAGAGCAAGTGCTTTGAACTGCTGAGCCATCTCTCCAGCCCCTACCTTTAGATAATTCTCACCATAATCATTTTGTGGGAGAAATGGACATAGAAGACATTATCTTATGTAAGAAATGGCCGGGTCAACCAAAAGGTTAAATTTGAACATGGTAAATCACATGCTCCAGGGGCAGGGGAGGCAGCTGAGCGAGCATGAGCACCTGAGCTTAATCCCTAGCACCACAAGGAAAAGCCAGAAGTGCCAGCGGGGCAGGGGCAGGAAGAGTCCCCAGGGCTCAAAGTGTGAGTGAGGCCCAGGTCTCAGTGAGAGACCCTATCTCAAAAAAGTGAGGGGGATAGTCGCCAAAGGCTGGGTGACCTCCACCATGTGCACCTGCATACATCACACACACACACACACACACACACACACACACATATGCTCACCCACACGCACAAAATAATCTTGCCCCAGAAGCCAGAAAGCCATCAGTAATGCCAACACCCCAGTCTTTCCAAGTGCAGTAATATTTTTAATGATGAAACATTATGGTCTTCCTTGCCACCCCAGGCAAGAATTAGGTCACTAGCATAGCATTCTGACCATGGCCAGAGACCTCTTCAACTATGGCTTAAATGTGCTCATCAGGAGGGCTTGCCCTAAATGTCACATGACCTGGCTTAATGCTTCTTAGCTCCAGCTGTACTGAAAAGGTTTTTGTTGGATGGTGAAAAGGAGCCTCAAGGAATAGTGAGAAGCAAAGGCTTTTTGGGAGACCACCACAAATGTTGGCTCCTAGCAGGCTTCAGGGATAAGTAGGTAGAAGTGTCTAGACTTCATACTATGGCTTTAAGCTAATTTTACAGCAGAACTTGATCAGGTATAACAGATACAGTGGTAGGCCAAAGAACTACGCTGAGTTGTGGCACATCTGACATGTGTCATGTGAAGTATTTTTCAGCCCATCTTTTCCTCCTGGAACCCCCTTCCTCTCATTAATTCTCATGCCAGGCACATGTGAAATAAACTGCTCAGATTCCTGGCTGAACCTTGCCTGTAGCCTAAGAGCCAACATGAAGCTGTGATGTAATGGACACGTAAAACCAGAATTAAATCTAGGCAGACTGCAAGGAGGCACAGCTTGGGTCACAGCTCTTTCCTCAGTACCTACAGGCGTCAGTGCAGAGTACAGATCCCAACAGCAAACAGCTCCGCCTATGCTGAAGCAATCCGCTGGTATTAAAACAAGCTCCCAATTAAAGCAACTTGTCAGGGCCACACGATGAAGAGCAGAGCCAAGCTCGTGTTCCCAATGGGCAGCAGGCTCTTTAAGGAGTAGACACGCTGATAGAGGAAGAACTCTGCAACAATCCAACTTCTTGATAAAATCTTTTTAATGGAAAATGTAAAACCCCTTTCAACTTTAATGTACAAAGCCATATGTAACACTTGCACTTTAACAAAAGCAAGCCAATGTTTTAAAAAAATACATCATTAAATGTATATATGTATATATTTACATAGCATATTAAGTTTAATATTTAGCTTTAAAACTTCACATAAATTTTACCAAAATGAGACAATTTTAAATAAATTACATTTTGAAAATGTTTAATTGTACAGTCAATAGCTTCAACAAAATATTGAAGTGTCTGTGTTTAGTATCTACTTTATATACTTTGTATTTTACAAATGTTACAATTGTTTGGCAGTAATTTTCTGATTATGACATAACTGCTGTGCAATCTGGCAATTTTCCAAAGGCAGCAGCAGCTGGTGTCTGTGTCTTGTTCTCACAGTAACTGTCTCAATGTAGTGGAAAATATCAGTTATTTATTAAACTGTACAAGGGCACATTTACACTTGATCAACAATATAGCATAGATTTTTTTTTTTTACCAAAAATAAATACATCATTGTAAATCTGGCATCTTCACAAACATCATATACACTATAATACAGAACAGCTATGTAGTGCTGCTATTAAATTTAGCTTGTTTTATAAGAGCACTGAGCCACAGGAGCCGTGGCCTATGCTATACTGCTGTGGTGTCAGTAACAAGTAATTACCACAAAGACAATTTCTTGGCACTGATGGTGTATGAAGCCCGTGCCAGCGTGCATACCTATGTCACTCAAGGGCAGCTTTCCAGTCCTACACCCACACTTAAGGCTCCTCCATGTCCTCAACTTCGTCTTCGTGCATCTTCAGAGCTCGCACCATTTCTTTGACCGCATGATACAAGATATTCTTAACCTGAAAGGGGTAGTGTTCACAATCACTTGAGGTGCTAGATCAAAAACGAAATTATCGATGTTATATACGCTTTTTCCAAGACAGGATTCCACTGCGACCCAAGCTGCCTTCAAAGTGACTGCAATCTTCCTGCCTCAGCCTTCCAGGTGTTAGGATAACAGACATACGCAGCCATGCCTGGCTTACAAGCAAAGTACTAATTTTAATCTCTGTGGGGATCACTGAGTGTTGTATTTAAGGAGAAGTAAAGTACGAAAGCCGAGAAGTGTTGCTGAGGCTGGAGAGATGGCTCAGTGTTAGGAGCACTGGCTGCTCTTGCAGAGGTCCCCTGTTCAGTTCCCAACACCCACACGGCAGCTAACAACCTTCTGGAACTCCAGTTCCAAGGGATCTGACACCCTCTTCTCGCTTACATGCAAGGCAAAACACTCGTACACATAAAATATTTATTTTTAAAAGGCTCTGTCAAGCTAGAACTTGAGTCAATAAATTCAATAAGCTATATGCTGGTATTAACCGGGGTCTTATCCTACTGTGACAGACGAGGCAGTGGCCGCCTAAGCTGTAATGTCTGTACCCTATTTTCACATAAAAGCCTGAAACACATCTCAGCACACTTGTTTCTTACCTGTAGTTTATCATCATAATTAATTTCTTCCTTCAAAAGTCTCAGTTCCTGCGTTAAATGAAATGACTGTACGAGATGCTCTGGAGACACAAAGTCTTCGGTTACCTGAATACAGCTGTGAAAATTCTGTACCTATTCCAGAAAGAAAAAAACATGAAAAATAAATCTTAGGAGACCAGAGTGAAAACAAAGAAAAGCCACGCAGCCTAAAACCAATAAATATAGGACAGTTCTGCAGAGAATTTTCTCAAAACATCAAATGGATTTCAAAGCAGAAGACCACACTTTAATGAGAAAGTTATGTCACTGAAAAGCTTCATGTGAAGTGACTTTGTAAATGAAGTATTTTTAAATGACAAAAACAAGTAACTTTTCCAGGAATCCTTTGCAGAGGCTTATAAGAACCTAAATTACCAATACTGTCTAGATGGACTTTTTAGAACGTGTTACTTTGGAAAGTGCTCAGGAGAAAGGCTGTCAGAGGCCCTCCCGTGCTGCTATTCCTGTGCTAGCCATTTCAACGCTGACTCTGACACCAGACGAGGAAGAAAAGGGAATGCAACATGTTCGCTGTTAGGCACTGGGACCAGATCTACTGACCACAGACGAATTCCAGAACTGCCCGAGAATTTAGGTTATTTGTGCCTTTGTTTCAAATTAGCCAATTAAAGAGACCCTCTGACCACATGGCGTTTTGCTCTAACAGGTTTTCAAAACCGTCCTCTTTCCTGACTAGTTTTCTTCAGGAGCCAGTCAGCACTGTGTCATGTGTTTACATCTGCTTACTCTGCTCACTCCTGCTCCTTCCGACGGCTCTGTCTTAATGTTCAGGGAACAGAGGGAACCCAAGTGGACCTAATCTGGGGCCTGTACTTTTTTAGGCTGTCTTCTAATGATATTTCAGAATGCCATAAAAATTCCTGGGAAAGGAGGGATAACTGAAAAACTAAGCATTTGCAATTTATTCTAATTTTTGAAAAGTTTGCAAAATAAATTTAATTGGGAGGAGTGAGATGAAGCAGATAGTACGTGGGAAATGGAGACTGTGGGAAAATAATCTCATTGATGACAGGGTAATGGAATTCCAGAGGGGTTAGAATTCCTCCTCTGGACATATGACCACCTGAACAGCTGCTGAAGTCTGCAGTTAACTCAAGCACTGGCCTTACTGACAACTCGGTAGCACCATAAAGTAAGCGCTCTGTGTCTGGGATTAGGCTGCTGGTTCCTCTGGAGATTAACAGTGAAGCCTCACATGTGCAGCGTTCTGTGCAGCCTCACTGGCTCGTCCTTATTTGTCTGTAGAACAGATGCTCTACTTCACACAACAGTAGACTATGGATGAGATGTTCAGCGCCTGTCCCAAGACAAATCAGCCAATAAATGGCAAGTCACCAGGAGCCCAACTCCTGTGATGTCTTGTCTAGCAGATGCTTTACAGTCTTACATTAAGTCTCTCATACATCAGTCTGGAATGCCTTGACTGTCCTGTGTCTCATCTCAGCATGCTTCATGGAGATTTAGTACGTCACCTTTTGGCTTATCTAGCTCAAGCATAACTACAATCACTTGTAGAACCAAAATTCTAGCTTAGGTCCTTTTCCCAGTCTCTTGTTCTCTTTCCTTTGCTCACCATGATCTGATCTCTTTAGCTCTCTGAATTGTCTAGGAAATCCAAAGTCCGGGCTTCCTCAGGAACACTTCTGTCAATACATTCTCCCTTTAAATAGCTTTCCTTTGCTTTTTCTGTGTGTGCGTTATCACTCTAGGTTGAAAACCGGGCAGCTCAACGCTGCTGTGTTAACACGGCTGACACCACCCCCTGTCTCAAGGTTGGTGTCACTGCTGCAGTCAGCCTTTAGACACTGTCCAGACTTTCTGAGAGGACTGCATTCCTGGTAGGTGTGGTCACTGAAGTCTGTCCCGTTTGTTCGGTGGTTAGCCAGCGTGCTAACGAGAGATTTCCTTAGGAGCCACTTTCTTCTTAAAATGGTCTCTTGGTTCCTCTAAATTTTGCTTTACATTCCAGACATCTGAAAAGGTTGTCACCTTTGCCAGTTACAGTCACTTTAAAAAGATTTTCATACTGGCAAATTTTATTAATGCTCACAGGATGCTATTATAATTGAACAACCACTAGCTGATGTATTTTGCTGAAAGGCTTAAGAATTACTCTAAGAGGGAAGGGTTTACAGTAGAACATGAATGAACCTGGCATACCATTTATCCCTTTCCCTTTGCAACTTGCCTTTCAGTCACTTTTATCTCATTTCCTAGACCTATAGCTTTAATCATGCCTGCCTCAGAGGATCAGCTGCAACCATTGAAAAGACAAATGAGAAAATGAGATTGTTTTCATGTTTGGAGCATGACTGTTATCTTTCTAAAACGTTTTTATTTTATGTATTTGAGTATTTTCCTGGATGTATGTAAGTGTACCATGTGCGTGCAATGCCTAGGGGAGTCCAGAGAGGACATCAGATCCCTTGGAACTGGAGTTACCAATGGTGGTTAGCTTACATGTGGGTAGGTACTGGGAGCCAAACCCAGGTCCTCTGCAAAAGGAAGCCTATGCTCTTAACTACTGAGCTATCTCTCCAGCCCCCTAAAATAAACAAATCCCACCTTTTTTTGTTTCTGTTTTTTTGAGACAGGTTATCTGTAGCCCCAGCTGGCCTAGAACTTGTTATGTAGATGTGCCTCTGCCTGAGTGCTGAGATTAAAGGCTTGTGCCACCATGTAAGTTTATCTTTTTTTAAAGGGTTATTAACTTGACCCTGTGGTTGTTATATATCCAGATGTTAAGATTTATAAGCCAAAAACTGGCCATAATCCTCCTTGTCATTTAAATGAAAAAACATTTAAACCTTAAGATGCTAAATAATTATGTAGATGTGCCTCTGCCTGAGTGCTGAGATTAAAGGCTTGTGCCACCACGTAAGTTTATCTTTTTTTAAAGGGTTATTAACTTGACCCTGTGGTTGTTATATATCCAGATGTTAAGATTTATAAGCCAAAAACTGGCCATAATCCTCCTTGTCATTTAAATGAAAAACATTTAAACCTTAAGATGCTAAATAATCTAGTAAACTAGTTTAGGGAAGATTTATTAAGAAAGATTTCTCTGTCCTTTTTTCCTCCTTTGTTTCTTTTCTCGTGTGGTCCTAGGAGCTGGACCCTGGGCTTCCCAAATTCTAGGTAGTGTTCTATCACTAAGTGTTCAACTCTGAAGGCATTTCACAACACTACAGGTGAGGCCAAGTAAACACGTAGTGAAGTGTAGCTGCTCTGCCCAGCAATGGACAGAATCTCACATTTTGTCAGGCTCACCAACAGGAGTGGTCTTTAGAATCTGAAGATGATGGTGCTCATACCTGTGGCTGCTAAAACCAAGGTCTGAACTGCTCTGCGCAGGCAAAGCCACTGTCCTCCCAGGGTTGGAAGCACTCCTGCTAAGTGAGAGGCCACACCCCCTATTAGTACTGCCCCTCTAATGCAGAGTTACACGATTCAAACAGTCTCACAAGCGCCCTCGGCTTCTTGTCATTTACACAGTATAGTCCATGGACAGAAACATCAGCAAGGCTTGTTGGAAATGTAAAACTTCATTTCACTCCCCAACCTGACTTCCAAGCAATCAGAAATTAGGAGTTTAGCAAATCTGTGCTTGATCAAACCCCCCAACAAATTCTAATGGATATCAAATAGTAAGAAAATACCAGAAGACTGGAGAAGAAGGTTCCCTGCAAGACAGAAGCCAATCAGGTCTGTAAAACAATTCTGTCACCCCACCTTAAAAAATCCCCAGAAAGTAACAAGAGATAGAGAGGAAGTAGAGGAAATAAAATGGATGTAACACTGGTTTGGGGAAAGAGTCAATCACTTTAGAGGATAGCCTGGTAGTTTTTTTTTTTTTTCAATTAATCATACATTTATCAAAAGCTAGGCAATCCCACCAGTTAGTATATACTTAATGGAAATGAAAGTCTATGTTCACATAAAAGCCTACACATAAATGTAGGCTTATATTTATTTATTATCGCCCTAATTAGAAACAACCTAAATGCACTTCAGTTGAAAAGACAAGTAGACTAAAAACTACAACAATATTTATATGGTGATACAGATAACTAGAGATTAAAAAGTATCATTTGGAACACACAACATGGATGAATCTAATGCATTCTTAAGCAAGAAAAGCCAGGGTAAAGACTATGTATTGTGGGGCTAGAGAGATGTTTCAGCTGTTAAGGACATGCATACTCATGCGGAGGGCCAAGTTTGTTCCAACACCCAAAACGGAGGCTCACAACTGCTGTAACTCCAGCTCCAGGAGCCCCCATGGCACCTGCACTCACATATACATAATTTACAAAAATAAATCTTAACATATTGTATGACTGTAATTACTATTATCGATTAACTGAGACGGGGTTTGATTGTAGCTCAGGCAGGCCTAGAACTCCAGGTAATCCTCCTTAAAGCTCTAGAGCGCAGAGTTTACAGGTGTGAGCATCACAGTCAGTATGATTCCAATTAAATGACAGCCTCATAAAAGCAGAGCTAATCAAGCTGGACATGGTGGCGCACACCTTTGATCCCAGCACTCGGGAGTCAGAGGCAGGCGGATGTCTGTGAGTTCAAGGCCAGCCTGGTCTATATAGTGAGTTCCAGGACAGCTGGGGACAGCTGGAGCTACAGGGAGACCCTGTCTCAAAAAGACAAAAAAAAAAAGAAAAGAAAAGAAAAGAAAAGAAAAAAAAACCCCAGAGCTAATCATAGCACTCAGGAGATGGAGACAGAAGAACCAGAAGTTCAAGGTTATTCTCAGTGACCCAGTAAGTTTCAAGTCAGCCTGGGCTGCATAAGACCATGTCTCAAAATCAAATAAGATAAAGTACTATAAGGAACAAACATCAGATATGTGGTTGACAGACAGGTGACTACAAAAGTGTAGGGAATGGGGCTGGAGAGACAGATTAAGATTCTGTGGTGGCGCACACCTTTAATCCCAGCACTCCCGAGGCAGAGGCAGGTGGACCTCTGTGAGTTCAAGGCCAGCCTACACAGTGAGCTCCAGGCCAGCCCCACTAGAGGTAGACCTTGTCGCAAAAACACACGCACACACACATACACACAAAATCAAGATATTGTACTTCTCTTACAGAGAAGCTTAGTTTTTAGCACCCATGCCTGTAAGTCTAGCTCTAGGGAATCCAAATCCTTCTGCTGGTCTCCAAGGGCACTAACAAGCCCCACTCCACACACATATACACATAATTTAAAAAATAGAACCTTTCTAAAAAGTGCAGGGGATAATTTTTGAGTTGTGTTATTAGCAAATATGTTATTTGTCAAAATTTGCAGTGTTATATAGCAAGAAGGGTAAATTTTATATTTTTTTATATATTATTTGTATTTTATGTGTATGAGTGTATTACCTGCACGTATGTGAGTGCACCCATGTGCAATGCCGTGGAGGTCAGAAGAGGGCTTCGGATTCCCCTGGAACTGGAGTTAAGGACAATTTGTAGCCGCCATGTGGGTGCTGGGAAATCAAACCCAGGTCCTCTGCAAGAGCAGTCGGTGCTCTTAACCACTGAGCCATCTCTCCAGCCCTCAAAAGGGTAAATTTTATTACATGCAAATTGTACTATAACTAAAATGACTGCAATGTCTATTTTTTGAAAATATTTATTTTTATTTTATATGTATACGTGTATTGCCTGCATGGGTGAGTGCACCCATGTCATGCAGTGCCGTGGAGGTCAGAGCAGAGTGCCAAATTCCCCTGCAAGTGGAATTAAAGATGTTGTTGTTAGTTGCCATGTGGGTGCTGGGAACTGAATCCGGGACCTCTGCAGAGGTAACCAGTGCTCTTAATTGTTGAGCCATCTCTCCAGCCCCTGCAATGTCTATTTTAACTTTAAGAAAAGTGGCGCTGACATGTGTGGTGACCTATGTCTGTGATCCCAACACTTGGGAGCCACAGGCAGCAGGAAGGCTGCCTTCATGGCCAGGACAGTCCACACTGGAAGATTCCATTGCAAAGTGCCCCAAAGGAAAACTGGTATTTCCAAGTATAACCCTAAGACTTGAGAGACTGAGAGGAGGCCAGCCTGGGTTATACAGCAAGACTGTCTCAAACGACTCAGAGCAGCAACCATATGCTGACACTTACTAAGCTGGACATGTAAGCAAGAATTTGCAAACGAACCTATTCTGTTTTATCAAAGGAATACTCATATTTTATAGCTCTACAGACAAAGGTGTAGGCTGTCATTTAACCCATTCACAGTTCAGTGTTTTCTGATGAGGCTAACACACAAAAGAAATGGTGTGTAGGGTTCTGAATCTCAAACATGAAAGATAAATGATCACAAGTCGACAAGAAAACCACCATTTAATATACTTTCTAGGAAGTTACTGTAGAGAATGAGACATATTACCATGTTGGTATTTTATTCTCATAAATACCATTGAAGATCTAAGAATGAGGGATGGCGGGATGACTCAGTGGTTAAGAACACTGGCTGCTCTTACAGAGGGTTCAGTTCCCAGCACACACATGGTGGCTAAGAACCATCCATAACTCCCGTTCCAGGGTAACCAATGCCCTCCTTGGGCCTCCACAGATATAGTGTGCATGTGGTACCCTTACATACATTCATGCAAAACTCATATACATAAAATGAAAACAAAAGAACAAAAAACCCTAAACAAAGTTCTTGTTACCGTATAAGGAATATTTGTGCACATTTATCACAAATGCAAAAGAGTTATAAAATCTGAAAAGCTTTTCTTGGTAACAAATCAATACCAGATGCGTTTCATTACTGAATGGTGGGTGGGAAAGGCGGGGAACACCCGGTCTGGGCTGAAGGGGAGGTCTTGGATTTTCCTACGCACTTTATTACTAAAGGGCTAACCTGTGCTATGGGATCCATTCTCTCTCTTGGAATCCACTGTGCATCTTATGCTCAGTTCTACGCCCATCACCACCTACTCCCAGTCACTCTTAGTACCACATGCCAACCTACAGAAAGACTCGTGGTTTTTTTTTTTTTTTTTAATATTTATTTTATGTGTATACGTGTATTGCCTGCATGTAGATGAGTGCACCGTGTCGTGCAATGCCTGCACAAGATAGAAGAGGCTGTCAGATCCCCTGGGACTGGCTAGTTATGGACAGTTGTTAGCTGCCATGTGGGTGGTGGGATTTGAATCCAGGTCTTCTGCAAGAACAGTGTTCTTAACCTCTGAGCTATCTCTCCAGGCCCCTGATTTGAAGACTTTTAAGTGCGGTGGATAGAGTTATAGAAATCACAAACTATCTTTTCTTTACAGATGCTGTAATTATGTGAGCATGCTAAAGAGAACCAGGAAATGCAGGTAAAGACAGCGGTGGGTGCACACACGTGCTGGTCATTTTCCTACCTTTCATTTTAGCTATACCCAGAACACTTGCTTTTCCTGAAGCTAGCTGGTTCAGTGCAGGTGTGCTAACATTACAGCGCTATGTACCTGATGAAGTGCTCCTGCTGGCAAAACAATGGCATCACCCAGGAACTGAATCAGAGTGCAGGTTCTGACCCCGCACTCCTCTAGCAGCCTCTGGCGGAGCTCCCTGTTCACATACCAGCTTTGGTCTCGTATTGGATCATGCTCTGGCAGGACATCAAGGCCTTGTTCTTTTGAAATCTGAAATATAAGTTAGAATAAAAAAAATATGCACAGGAATTTAAGTCAGAGAACTGGAAAACCCTAGTTAAAGTTCTATTTTGTTACAGTCTTTCGCACTCAGTCATGAAACAATGACTGTGATAACACTGCGCACAGCACGGCCGCTGCAGGGCTGTCCTCTCCTCCTCACCACCTCCTGGACTATGAAGTCATCATCTACATGGCCTCCTTCCTTACCATGTGCTTCCAGGGCACAGCACCCAGATGAGGAAAAACCATTTGGTTGTCCCCACCACCCCAGAAGCCAAACCATTTATGTATATGTCTGTATAACCACCACTTGACATCTTAAAAGATACGTGCAAAGATCAATAACTTTTCAAACCTAGCCTTCTAGCTCTTCAAAAATCAATCTAAAGAAACTGTTAATAGACAATGAAATAATGGACTCTCACAGACACATTTGTTATATTTTAGGTTAAAAGAGTGTTAGGTATTCTGGGATAAGACAGTAGTTTACAAGATTCTTCACATGGACCCAGAAATACTATTTAAATCCTTTCAAAAAGATGAAGAATAACAAAATAAGCAAAAATGGTGATTTCTTAAATTCTACAAACCACAAAATTTTGAAAATCTTTTAAGCAAGGGTTTGAACTGATGTCCAATTGATGGGTTATTTTCTGACAGAACAATTAAAGTTGTTATTACACAAAAAATCATTTAAACAAACAATAGCCTGGAGAGATGGCTCAGTGGTTAAGAACACTGGCTCCTCTTGCAGACATTGGGGTTTGATTCCCAGCACCCACATGGCAGCTAACAGCCATCTGTAACTCCAGGTCTAGGGGATCCAATGCCCTGTTCTGACCTTAACAGGCACTGTACATACATGGTGCACTTAAATATATACAGGCAATACACACAATACACATAAAACAAAATTTTAAAAAACAAATATTATAAACCAATCAAATATGCCAGATGAAGCAGAATTACTGCCATGCCCAGGAACGCAGAAGAAAGAACACTAGGAGCTGAGATGGGGAGAGCTGCTGACTGCTGTCTTCTGGACAGAACATGGCTGCTGCACACGACTTCACAGCTGGGTCACCTGCACCAGGTGCAGTTAGTTAAAAATTGGCCAAGCATGGTGGCACTCAGGAGGCAGAGGCAGATGGATTCCAGGAAGATTGAGGCCAGCCTGGTCTACATTGCAAGTTCCAGGCTAGCTCAAGCCACAGGGAGACCGTATCTCAAAACAAACAACAAAAAAACCAAACCAAAAGCAGCTGATGGCAGCTAGGGAGGAAGAAAGACTTTTCTTGGGTTAGAATGCCCACAGCCTCGGGGTGGCCCTAACCCTATGCATATGGACATCACTAATTGGACTCAGTGACTCAGTGCGTTATAAAGGTAATTTTTAAAAGGAGGTCATGGAAGTTGGGGGAAGGAGGAGTTGGAGGGAGGGAATGGGGAGGACATGAGTAAGACATATTGATATACACGTATGAAATTTTCAAAGAATTAAAAAAAATCTACCTGGAAATATCTATTATCTATTTTTTACCACATAATTAAAAGGAATTTCACCAGGACATTAGTCCTTCACCACAAGGTGACAAGGGAACATCAGCAAACAAGAACAAGTTGCTGTTTTCAAAGCCCTCAAAATGCAAAACGGTTCAAACAGAATGAGACAAAATTCCACCTCCCTTGACCTAAAAATTATTTAATGATCTTATATCACTGAATTCCAAAAGGTGAATTAAAACGACTAAGTCCTTGTTCACAGTAAAGAGGTAAGTTATGAACTATCTGCAATCTCTGTACCTTTTGAAGAAATTCCCTTATCTTGTCCACATCTTTTCCAGCATAAATATGCCATAGAGCACCAGGAATTTCACTTGAATCCTTTAATCTTTTCCTTAAAATATCATCCAAATCTTCTTCTTCGAATTTCTTAAGTACTCCTGAAACATAGAAAAAGTTCTTTTATTTTATTAATTAATTAATTTATTTATTTAATGATTGATTGATTGTCTTTTTGAGACAGAGTCTCCCTGTAACCCCAGCTATCCTGGAACTCACTATGTAGACTAGGCCAGCCTTGAACTCAAGAGATCCACCTGCCTCTGCCTCCTGAGTGTTGGGACTAAAGGTGTGCACCACCACACTGGGCCTAGAAAGTTATTTTCAAGTGGGTCAGTAAAGACTACCAGGAAGTGCAACTTCTAAACAGTGATCAGCACCTGACTAGATCACTTCTCTTCTTGTTTTGCTTCGCCTTTTTGAAGTATGGTGTCAACAGGTAGCTGGGGCTGGTCTGGAACTTGCTATGCAGCCAGGTTGGCTTATTACTTGCTATCCTCTTGCCTCAGCTCCCAGTGTGCTAGGATAAGAGGCATGTGCCACCACCTGCAGGTCATACACTCAAAATCCATAGAAGAGCAGAGGCCTGGGGCTGTGACGCCTACAACACAGGGAAGGGAAACTGACTTTTCAAGTTGGTTTTCTGCAAGTCAAAGAGGAGGAGACAGAAAACTACTTAGGAGCTAAGCTTCCACTTGGCCATAAAAAACTTTCTCCCAGTCTCAAGGGCAGTCTGACCAGTGCCTTTTTTGTGTGTTTCTTTCTGTTTTGTTTTGATTTTTTGAGATAGGGTCTCACTATGTAGCCCTGACTGGCCTCAAACTCACGGAGACCCATTTGCCTCTGCCTCCCAAGTGCTGGGATTAAAGGCACGTGCCACCATGCCCGGCCTGACCAATGTCTGGAACTCAATTTCATAACTTACAAAGAACTTTATGGACACTTCTTAGTTAGCTGTCTCCTATAACTACAGAGGAAGGTAGGCAGGGACCATAACCTGCGTCTTATGTTTGAGTAAAAATGTTCAGTGAGGTGAGTGGGTCCACACTGGGCTCTTCTGTTTTCACTGTTAGCCTGTAATCAAATGCAGATGCTTCACGCATAAAGCTATGGTTGTAAGGAAATATCAGGGAATCCTTATAAAATGTTGACAAACTAGAAAATCCTTTATCATGTAGGTCACAAACTGAGTAACTAAATACATTCCATGCTGTGGGAAAGTGCTAACGGGGACGACATAAACATAGTACACTGACAGGCTGAGTCTGAACCCAAAGCCGCTTGCGTTTCTGTAGAAAAGCGGGGACTATCTAACCCTTGTGAGGAGAAAAGGTTGAGTGGTGTGACCAGGAGTCAGTAACACTGTCTACGACAAAGGGAGCACAGTGCTGGATAGAGTGGAGAGAAGTGTCTGAATCATCCAAACGTGTCCACAAAAGCAATACCAACAGTTAATTCAAGCAAGAACAGTCTGAAGTGAGTCAGTACAACAGACGTGTCAAACAGGGCAAAAATGCCTGAGGACAGCAGGGTAACACAGTGGCTGACAGCTGCCCACTTGTGAGAAGGGGCCGCTTAGAGCCTGAGCTTATGCTTTTTTATTTAACAGCAGTGATAGGGACCAGAATTAAAGGCCTTGTGTACTGGGTAAGCTGGGAAAATGCTCTACAGCCCTGAGCGCCTCCTATCCTCAAGAGAAGTCAGCAGAGAGCAAAAGCTTGAGACCCGTGGCTGTGTATCTGAAAAGGAAGGACTGAGGCCTGGAGACAGCTTAGCAGGAAAGGTGCTCGCCTCCGAGCCTGATGACCTGAGTTCGAGCCCCAGAACCTACAGGGAAGAAGGCGAGAACCAGCTCCTACCGGCTGTCCTCTGACCTCCACATGCACATGCTGCTCCCAATAAACACATACATGAACAAAAAAGGAGTGATAGAGTGGTTCTAAACAGAAACAGAGAAGGGGAACTAAAGTCCATGCATCCAGACAAAAGGTCACCTGCCATTTAAAAGCCTTTTTCTGATACCAGGAGAGGGAGACTGCTTCAGCCACAAACAATGTCTTAATCACCTTCACACCCCCAGAACCTAGTTCCTACTCTACAATGATCACAAGTACATTTGACAATAAACATTCATAAATACAATACTTACTACTGGCAAATGATCAAATAAATGAACAAATAAAAAATATTTGTTTTCAAAATGAGTTATTTCTTTTACATGGTGAACAAGAAAAATAATCTTCAGGTAGCAAAGATTAAAATATCCTTGTTATCTACCCCTTTAAAAAAAAAATCTGGGCTGGAGACAAAGCTCACTGGTTAAGCGTGCTGGCTGCTCTTGCAGAGGACCTGGGTTCAATTTCCAGCACCCACGTGGCAGCTGACAACCTGTCCAGAACTCCAGTTCCAAGGGATTTAATACCCTTTTCTGACTTCTAAGGGCACTGCATGACACAGGTGCACTATCATACATGCATGTAATATACTTGTACACATAAAATTAAAAAAAAATTTTCTTTTGAGACAGGGTCTCCCTGTAGCCCCAGCTGTCCTGGAACTCACTATGTAGACTAGGAGGGCCTTGAACTCACAGAGATCCGCCTGCCTCTGCCTCCCGAGTGCTGGGATTAAAGGCATGCGCCACAATACCCGGCAAAAAAATAATAATAAAAAAGTTAAAAAACAAAACAAAACAAAAAAAACCCCATGCCGCTAAGCCAGAGGCAATTATACACAACAGCAATGTTTGCAGTAACTTTGTTTCTTCACCTGTCTTTGAGAGGACGCCATTTCCTTTTGCTATGCCAACATACACTAGAATATTTACAACGTCAGAAGCTTCGATGTGGAGATTTGTGGTTCCTATATCATGATCTTTAGCAGCGGCTACACCTGCACAGGAAATAAGGCTTTTTACTTGACAGAACTTTATATATCTAATAATGCTGCAGATATTATCCCCCTCAATTATCAGTACAATTAGGCAGGAACAGATTTGGAAGCTGGAGAGATGGCTCAGCAATTAAGAGTACCAGCTGCTCTTTCAGAGGAGCAGAGTTGGGTTCCCAGCACCCACATGATGGCTAACAACCCCACCCATAACTCAAGTTCCTCTTCTGACCTTCATGAGCGCTGCACGACTAACATGTGAACAGAACACTCATAAACACGCTGCACGACTAACATGTGAGCAGAACACTCATAAACAGAAAATAAAAATAAATTTGGAAAAAATGGAAAACCATTTAATAAAAATGTACAAATCATTAAACAATTTACTTTGAGCAGCTGTTAAAATCCCATATAGTTCCAATTCAGGAGAACTGTGAATATATACTCACCATAGGCACTACACAACCTGGGTCCTAGATCAGGACGTACAAAAAATCCTGGCAAATGTGAGGCCAAATTGAATTTTCCTTCTGGATTACAATATTCTGGCAATGGCAGACTTTTTAAAAGATCTTCATATCTGAAGAAAACAATATATATTTCTTTTGAATAAAGATTTGCATTTTGAAGTATCTTCAAGTAAATAAATTGTGAAAAACACCAGACATCCTTTCCTCAAAATAGGAAATACTTCTCTAGAATTGCTTCAAAGATTAAAGGGATGTACACACAGCGAAGAATAAAACATAAGTGATACTAAAATTTCAATTATGCTTTCCTAAACACAACAAATTAAATAAAAACTTGAGGAAAAGCAAGGCCCCAGTAGAACCCTGACTTTTAAAAATAAGGCAGTAAGGAGAACGCTCGCCATGGGTGGTGTGGCACATGCCTCAGTCCCGGCACTCGGGAGGCAGAGGCAGGAGAATAGGATCTCTGTGAGTTCAGTCCAGCCTGGTCTACATAATGAGTTCCAGGTCAACTGGGGCTACAGGGAGACCCCGTCTCAAAAGGACAGAAAGAGAAGAGAAGAGAAGAAAGCTCAACCCAAACATTTCCTCTTCATGAGGCTGGACACACTCACTTTTGCTTTTTATTGTCAAGAAGCACCCCCCAAAAAAACCAAAAAAATCTACCGATTATCAAGGCCAGCCTGACTGTCACAGTGAGTTCCAGACCAACTAGGACTACAGGGAGACCCTATCACTTAAAGAAGAAGAAAAGGAAGGAAATGTGCAGATCTTACCTTGCTGGCATCATGGTCTTGAAGTCTTCTCCAGAAGGGCAGTCTTTCAATTTTAACACGACTGTTTCTCCACTTTTATTTTTTTGCCGTTCTATAAAGATAATAGTAAATTACTTCAAATGTTATTTCTGTCTTTTTATTAATATTTAGAGAAGAAAAACTGTAAACTATTAGACTCGTGTACACAGATTATTAATGGATGCTTATGGCTCATTATTCCTTATATATTCATGGCACCTAACAACAGTCCAGTCCCAGGGGATCCGACAGCCTCTTCTGTCCTTTGCGGGCACTGCACAACACGGGTGCACTTACCTACATGCACGCAATACACACATACACACAAAATAAAAATAGTAAAAAAAAAAAAAAAAAGACAACTTTATTTATATCTGTGTGTGGTGCGTGTATGTCTGGGTGCACATGGAAGCCAGAAGAGGGTGTGGGATTCCCTGGAGGTGGTTATGAGCCTCCTGGGTGGCTGCAGAGAACCTGATGTGGGCGCTCTGCAGCATTATGCGCTTGCAACTGCTGAGCCATCTCTCCAGTCCCAAGACTGTTCACGTGCATTGTACATGTGTTATATGTCATTAACTGTTTATAACATCTAAAAATTGCTATTTCTTAAAAATTCTTTATATTTGTTGGTATTAGTCTTACATTTAGTAGTTCTTAATTTTCCAAATATTTTACATAAACTATATAATTTAATTTCCCAAGTTTTAAGGGTTGTCACAATTTCCCTATATTAGAAAATAGTTTATATTATGATAATGTCAAAGAAATGTTGATTATAAACTATACTATTGTTTCCAATTTTTAAAAATTTTTTGCTGTTGTTGAGACAGGTTCCCATTTAGCCTAGTCTAGCCCCAAAGTGTAGCTGAAGATGACTTCTGAAGTTCAGGTCTTCCTGTCTCCATCTACTGAGTGCTGACAGTCCAGCTGTGTGCACCAGTCCAGTTTTAAGAAGAAAAAATATTTTAAATTGAAGAACAATATTAATACAGAAGTTTCAAAGATTAAGAACTTAATACCAGCAATTTATCATTTTAGGGTTATATGACTAAGAAAACTGAAAAAAATTAACGTACTTGAAACTTCTTCAAAGCCATCCCAGAATTCCTTAACGTTGGTACTGGAGACAACGCTGTCTCTGCAGTTCAAGAGGTCAGCTTGATGGTCTCCAAGATCCACACTAATTGATTCTGCTTTCCACAAGCTAATGTTCATTTTTCTATGTACACCGGAAACCACTGCAGGCTTATGAATAAACACATAAAGAAGCGAGTTTAAAGACATGAGGATTTTTCAATTTAAGTACATATGCTAGTGGATAGTAAACTAGGTTTCAACCCCACTGACAATCTGTGACTATCAAAGAGGCTACCCACAAACACTTCTGGACTGTACACAGTGAAAGAGAACAGGTGATAAAGAAACAACACGGAGCTATGGTGCCATTTATTAGTTTACTTGGTTTCCTTTAATTTTGACACACTGTTTTGCTATGTAGCACAAGCTGGCCTCAAACTTCAGATCTTCTGGCCTGAGCTAGATGAGTGCTGGGATTTATAGGCATGTTAGGTGTGCCCACACCTAAAAAATGGCATTTTTCTATAGACATTTCAGTAAGTAATAATCTTCAGAAAGAAAGCCTGAGGATTTCATTTCTGGATAGCAGGAGTATGACTTTGGGGTGACCGCTTTATCAACGGACAATATTTTGGATAGTACATAAGCTATTTGTAAGTATGCAGTAACACCTTAAATTAAAAATAGCATCAAAACATTATTTATATATGTTCTGAGTTAAGACACATTTTCTTTTATTTCTACAAGGATCATGATGAATAAAAATATTAAACACAGGCATGACATTCAAATTTTAAGCCTAATGACTGATTCCTTATATGTGAGTCACCTCTTTTAGATTCATGAATTCAGATACTTCCAATGGAACCTCTACAGCAAAGGCTCACGAAACATAGTGGAACAGGAACTGCAGAATATGAATGCATCTCAACAGCAAAGCTTCCTCACGTAACAGAAGACAACGAACACAGAGGGCCATAACTGGCCAATGTGTAGAGAATAAGAGACTGCAGAATTCATGTCCATGCATAGGACAGACTCCTGTATTAAACCTCATGACCCAGGGTTCAGGGACCATTTCAGAAGAGGGGGTCAAAAAAGTGTAAGAGCCAGGGGTGGTATATGACCAAAAGAAAACAGTCTCCAGGCTTCTGGGAACTTGCTCATATGAACTTTACAGCAATGATGACCAGCATGAACAAGACCCATGCAAACTCAGACAAAACCCAGCAAAGAACTGGGGAAATGGCCAAAAAGCCCCAACCTTAGGAGAGAAACTACTGGCAGCTGATCACAGCGGGGTTAGGAGAGTTGGTTGTCTTTTTTTTGTCTTTTTGAGACAGGGTTCTCCCTGTAGGCCCAGCTGTCCTGGGATTTACTATGTAGATCAGGCTGGCCTTGAACTCACAGAGAGTCCCCCTGCCTCTGCCTCCCAAGTGCTGGGATTAAAGGCGTGTGCCACCATGCCCGACCTGAGTTGGTCTTCTTTAAGGGAGTGACACTATTAGATAGAATAATAAAGTCATACAAACAACTTGATAGGCCTTAACTATCTGGCAGATTACTGGGGGGGGGGGATCTAAATATGATTAAGATTTATGTATGAAATGGACAAAATTCAATTAAAAATATATTGAAAAAGAAAGACTGCTTCTAAAAACTCCAATAAACTATATAAACATCTGTTTAATTATTCAACTTAATTATTTACAGGGTTTTTAAAAAGTTGTGATTCCAGGCTGGGCATGGTGGCAGATCTCTGTGAGTTCAAGGCCAGCCTGGTCTACATAGTGAGTTTCAGGACAGCTGGGGCTACAGGGAGACCCTGTCTCAAAAAGACCAAAAAAATAAGCATTAACGGTAATACATGTTTTCATTACTCTAAGTATGTACAAACCTGCTAATTGAAATAAAATACTAGGACTAAATTTTGTAAATAAGAATTTTATGTATGCTCACGCATCAAAACAGTCAGTACTTCCCTCTAAGATTATATAGATCTTGACAAAAATAGGAACTCAGAAGTCACCACTGTGGTAACTTTCTGGTGCTCTGCTATCTAACTTTTCCCCGTCGATTTCTATCCCGAAGGAGAAAATATTTTTTCTATTTAATCCACTTCAGGTCCATGAAAAGTGCATTTCATTAGTGTAACATACTCACCCGTCCTTGTTTCCAACACTCTTTGAAAAGCTTCCAATTATTACTGTTCTTGTAATCCTTAAGCCATAGAACATGCTGGTCACAGATCCAAGAATGTGGTACATCACCATATAATTTATCATTCTCACTCACGGAAGACTTTCTGCTCTCTTTAGGCTCCTCATTGAGCTCTGACTTTACATTTATCTTGGAGGTTTTATTTGGAGGGATTTTGTTTTCAACAACTGAAGCAATTATGTCATCAAGAATGTTCGGCATAGTCCGTCCACTTTTGCCAGTCTATTAAAAAAAAAGGAAAAGGAAAAGAAAAAGAAAAATTTCTGACAAAAACGATACTGAAAGGAACATGTGTATTTTGTTCTAATACACTATATTTTAAACGTTCACCTTATTAATACAGAAAACAACAACAACAACAACTTAAGCAACAATCCTCGCGTTATGAACACACAGCTGTGCTGGTGGAATGGACCCCAATTCCCCTACATTTTTTTCCTGATAAATAAGGACCAGATTAAGTTTGGTACTGTGAGAAACTACCAGGTCTGATGAGCTGAGAAGCAAAGCCTTCTTATTTTTGACACTAGTTTGGACCTCAGCCTCAGGTGCTTAAAATCCTCTATATTAAAACCTACTACAACTTAACTATTTATGCAATTGTGTTTTGGGGATTTTTCCTTAACAAAATTTGTTTCCCAAGTACCTTAAAGACAATTCCATACAGTTTTATTTTCTACTACTACATACATGATACTGAGGTTCTAAAGGGCTACCAAAACTTCTCCCAGCTTCAAAGAACCTCTAGCCTCCAGGTGAGGTGACGGTAAAAATGAAAGGAGACTAGGCCCTCACTGAGCACGCAGAGTTTTACCTGCATCTGCTTGGTAGATTGTTCATAGCTAACCACCAAGTCTCTATATAAACGTAAGGCCAGTGCTAAAAAGCGAGGGGACTGGAGGAATAGCTGCATGGTAGGGCACTTACCCAGCACGTGCAAAAATCAAATCAACAAACAAAACCCTGACATCACACTCACAGAGGCTCCCATCGAATACACCGGTGCAAAGGCAATCCCTGCGTCTGTAGAGCCCACGCGCAGCTTGCCGGCCGTAGTGGTCAGCAAATCCCGTAAGGTTGAGCCCTGCTCATTACTCTGGGAAACTGGAGGCGATGCTCTGCCACTTGGAGAATCAGAGCCATCTTGTTCTCCCTCTTCTTTAATTTCCTTTTCAAGGGCAAATTCTTTGTTTTCTAAAATAAAATTTCACAAAAGTTAACACATCCTTTACACAAAAGTATAGAACATTATACATACTATACTTTATACTGAAGTATAGAACAGTTATATTTACCTTTTTTTTCCTCTCTGGATTTTTGCTCTGCAAGATCAGCTAACCAATGAAGTGGTGACTGGGATTCTGGAGGCGGTAACTTGCTGTCTGTGCTTACATCACTGCCTGGGCTGCTGCCGCCATTACTCTCAGACTGCGGAGGGTTATTCTGCTGCTGAGACTCAGGCACGCACAGAGAAATTTTATTACTGTGGTTAAGAACATTCTGTAAAACCTAAAGGGTAACACAGTGTAATTTTTAAACAGTGTTTCTTCGATTATTCAATTAAAAGTCATTATAATACAGGAAGACAGACCTATATTGGAGGGTTGGGTTTCTGGGGGGAGGTGAGGGGAGATACAGTCTAACAATGTAGTCCAGGTTAGGCTAAAACTGGCCTTGAACTTGCTGCAATCCTGCCCCAGCTTCTTATATGTTGTAATTATAAGCACAGTCACTAGGCCTGGCAGGTAACAAAGTTCCAAACATGCAAAAAGGTCTGGAGCAGCAGTGCAAGCCTTTGGTCCCAGCACTTGGGAGGCAGAGGCAGACAGGTCAGCCTGGTCTACATAGTGAGTTCCAGGCCAGTTGGAGTTACAGGGAGACCCTGTCTCAACTTGGCCCCCCAAAACCCCCAAGCAACAACAACAGCAACCACCCCAACACGCATAGCTGTGTAGTGCTACTATGGACTATGCTTAAATATTGTTTTAACTCACTTGAGATACGCCATTCATCGTAGGAAAACTTCCGACTTGTACGTTCTGTTTGCTAGTACAGTGACAACAGGACTTGATACCGTATTTTTCCCTGAGGACGTGCATCGCATCGAGAAGATCTGTCAACACTGCAAAACACAATGGTATTTAATAAAAGTATTATTAGCACTTCTTGTCAAGATCACACATTTTTCTTACTATGTTTTATAATTTGGGAACAGCAAATTTCTGGTGACTTCATTTTCTGCCAGTCATTTCTCAGCACTATCCCTTTGAAACATCACAGGCCGATTTATATTCTTTTCCTTACTGTCTATTATGAAAATTCCAATACGCTCAAAATTCTTAGAAATCTCTCCCTGTATGGGGCTGGAGAGATGGCTCAGCGGTTAAGAGCACTGACTGCTCTTGCAGAGGACCTGGGTTCGATTCCCAACACCCACATGGCAGCTACAAACCGTCCTTAACTCCAGTTCCAGGGGAATCTGAAGCTCTCTTCTGACCTCCATGGCACTGCATGACATGGGTGCACTCACATACACTCATACCCATAAAATAAAAATAAAATGCTTTAAAAAAATAAATCTCTCACTATAAATTCAAATACTACCCTTAACTAATTTCCCTCCTCTAGTGATTCCTGTGTGATTTTCTTCAATGAGTCTGTGAAGACTTTTCTACCAGCTTTTTTTGGGGGGGAGGGGGTCATCTTTTATTTTAGACAGGGTCTCCCTGTAGCCCCAGCTGACTATGTAGAAAAGGCTGGCCTTGAACTCATAGAGATCTGCCTGCCTCTGCCTCCCGAGTGCTAAGATTAAAAGCGTGCGTGCATGCCCAGCAATATTTTCTGTAATAAATTGAAAAAAAAATTTTATTTACTTAGAAGGATTCAGAATGTCAAAATACAATTATTTTCATATAAGCTGCATCAGAGACAACTGAAGATGAGAAGAACCTACTATCCCTATCTAACCTAATCTGTGCTGTTCCCTTGCATTCCCATGCCAGTTTACAGCCCTCGTGCTGTACACGGCACAGTTAGTGGCTACTTCTGAAAAACCACCAGGACAGGGCTATCTAAAGATACAGTCAGTCAGCAGTGGGTAAACTATATAGAACAAGACACTACACAGTTTACAAACAAATCTTACAGTCTTACATTTCAATTTTTTTCTTTAAAGGAGTTGTGTAGGGGGATATTAAATGCTTTACAGACAAGGAAAAAAACTGTGCTAGAACAAACTTTTCACCATTATCTTCCTCTTCCTCCTCTATCTCACTCCTTCCAGCCTTGACACCCCCTCTTTGCAGCATCAGCTTGTCCTTTAGCTGTGCAGGCAGCAGTATCCTGTGCCTCTCCCAGTTTCCTTGCAACATCACCAGAGGATAAGCTGGGATGTTCTCCTTCAATTTGGGGGAGAGATTCAGAACAGAAGAAGGCCAAAAGAGGCCGGCTGCATGCGTTGGGATTTTTGACTCTTCTGTTCCCCTTTGTGAGGGATAGTTTTCACTCCTGTTTCACCACAAGCTTCACGCTCCTCTGCCATGTCTTCAACTTTCCGTGTTCTTTAGCAGACATCGCCTTCCACCTCTCTGACCACGTCCTGGAAAACTCTGAGAAGTTGATGGAAGCATCAGGGTGCTTCTTTTTGGGCTCCTTCCAGAAGCTTGCACCAAGAATGCACACGATGACATTTTGCCTCTCGAGTCCTTAGGATCTCTTCTGCCCACGTCTACTTGCTTTTCCTTAGCAAAGGGCAGTCAGGTTGCCCAGCACCCATCCAGCTCAAACTGCCCTGGTGCTGTCTCTATGGAGCTCAATGCACTACAATCTGTTTTCTATAATTCTGAACAAATCGATTCAAGACTGGTTAAACCCTACTTTTCCATTCTATTACATACTTACCTATTTCTTATCGAGACAGAACCTTTCCATGTATGTAAATCAAGGCTGGCCTCAAACACACAGCAATCCTGCTGCCTCAGCCTCCCAAATGCTGGATTCACTACACCTGGCTAAAACAACCTTAGTATTCTTTCCATATGAAGCAATCACAACCTATTATACAAAGTAAATAAAACATATTTATACTTACCAGAACCAGGTATAATTTGAGTTGGCATTAAATGTTTGTGATCATGAGGCTGTCCTTTAACACATTTCATCCAAGCATACAATTCTTTATCTGTAAGACAATTGTAACTTGTTTCAAATCACTTATGTTTTATAAGTATAAATTTGAGGATTGTATACAAAGAGCTTAAGAAGTATATGAAATTTCAACGACAGCTTCTAATACTTTGTTCTTAAAAAAAAGTCAGAGACAGGAGAGGTGGCTCAGTGGTTTAGAGGTTAAGAGCACTGGCTGCTCTTGTAGAGGACCTGGGATCAATTCCTAGCACCCATATGGAGGCTAACAACCACCTGTAATTCCATTTTCAGGGCATCCAATGGCCTTTTCTGACCTCTGTGGGCATTGCACAACATGAGTGAACTTACACACGTGCAGGCAATACATAAAACCGATAAAAATTTAAAAGTCAGAAAAGACAGTTCTAGAATTCACTTTTTTTTTGGTCTTTTTGAGACAGGGTTTCCTGTAGCCCCAGCTGGCCTTGAACTCACAGAGGACCTGCCTCTACCTCCCTAGTGCTGGGATTAAAGGCGTGCGCCACCATGCCTGGCTTATCCTATAAACTTATGATACAAAATGGCTGCCGGCCCTTCCTAGACAACTGTCCTTTGCTCTTGTCACAGGGCTCATCACTTCTGTGTTTCTAATTTGTAGCACTTATTTTCTATGACCTAAAGGGCATGCACATTAGAATATCCATACAGCAAGGTAGAGGGTACGGCTACCTCAGTAGGCTTGGGGTCAGTGGTATGGTGCTTGCTTAGCATGCACAAGGCCCCAGGCTCAATAACTGCCATTACACAAACGAAACAAAATACTAAAAAACTCCCAGGATGTAAAAAGGCCGGCCTCCTGGAGAACCAATACGACTTGCTAGTGTTGCTCTCAAACAAGGCTCCCTACCTGCAGTTGTTAACTTGAGGTAGAGATGAGGCATTCTGTAAGCCTCAGAAAACTTTCTATATAAATTTATCGACAGATGTGTCGGTAAGAGTGCCCTCCCCGTCACAGAGTTCAATAAATTCGGCCTAAAAACCCTAAAACTGTTTCATGAGAACCCCACAATAAAAAATTTTAAATCAATTATCAGTAAATAAAACCCAAGTTATTCTAAGACGCCTTCATTTCAAAGCTTGCAGAGTCCTCAGCAAAGGCCGTTTTCCCTGCAGACAGGCAGGGTGACCGCCGTGTACAGCAGGTGCCTCCTCACTGCCTCACCACAGCACTGAAAGCAGAGTAAAAAGAAATGTACAGGAGACGCACACACTAAAAGCCGTTCTTGGGCTATACTTCCAAAATGGACAGCACCATGAAGACAAACAGCAGTCCTATCTAGGGGTATCATAATACCACCTTGCTTGAAAAGGAAGGGTAGGAGACCTTCATGGTTATGTGCATATGTGTGCATGAAATGCAGCAAAACAGAAATAAAAAGACACCGCAAGCACGCACACGCGCACACACACACACTCTAGAGATTAACTGCAGGGCTCACACATGTTAAAAGCAGCAGCTCTCACTGAGCTATAGCCCCAGCACAAAAAGAGTTATTTAGTGGTACACGCCTTTAATCCCAGGACTTGGGAGGCAGAGGCAGGCGATCTCTGTGAGTTCCAGGCCTGCTAGGTCTACAGGGAGACCCTGTCTCAAAAAAGAAAAAGGAAAAAAAAAAAAAGAGATTTCACTGTCACAATGCCTTTAACACTCTGTCACGTTTTTACTTCTATTTACTGAGTATCTTGTGCTTTACCACTAAGCTTACATACTGAGCTTGGTAAGACTTTTATATCACACTGATACACATTTAGTAACTTCATTTTTTTTTTTGCTCTTTTTGAGACAGTCTCCCTGTAGCCCCAGCTGTCCTGGAACTCACTATGTGGACCAGGCTGGCCTTGAACTCACAGAGATCCACCTGCCTCTGCCTCCCGAGTGCTAGGCGTGTACCACCACGCCCGGCATAACTTCCTTTTTAAACTGTAAAATCTTCATCTATATTAACAAGTACTGTACCATTTATGTGTCTAGAATTATGCATTCTTAAGATCTATGGGGATGAATGCTAATAGTGGCAGGAAATTCTTTGTTTTGTTTCTGTTGGTTTTTTCCCTTTGTTTCTTGACAAGTCTCCTTAGTCCTAGGCCACCTGGAACTCACCATGTACACCAGGGCTGTCTTCAATCTCACAGAGATTCACCTGCCTCTGACTCCTGAGGACTGGGATAAAAGGTGTGCATCACCACGCCCACTGTGGCAATATATTCTTGGTAATTTTGGGGGGGGGGGGTTATACACTGATAATGTAGAAATAATCAAATGTGACTTCATGAGGGATTATCAAATGAACAGATTCTAAAAGGAGACCAGGATCCCTTAAATTAGAACCTGAAAACAAGGCCTAACCTAAATTGGTTATTAAGAAAACTGTCTGCCAGGCGTGGTGGCACACGCCTTTAATCCCAGCACTTGGGAGGCAGAGGCAGGCGGACCTTTATGAGTTCCAGGCCAGTTGGACTACAGGGGAGACCCTGTCTCAAAAGACCAAAAAATAAAAAATAAAAATCACACACCTCTGTCTGAAAAAGTACACACATTTAACTAGGGTAAGACAGGTAGATAATTTAGATACTAATAAAGGTTAATTACTTATAGCAAATGCTATAAAACATCCTTAATACAGTTATAATTAGGGGAAACCCCCACATTTTTGCAGAAAGGTTACGTAAGAGCATAAGCGACGCAGCGCATCTTCTGTTGTGTGGTGACCGACCTCTAGAGCTCTTCCTTTCTTTTCCCTTGAAACAATCCAAGCAAACCACAAATCCACATTTCTGGCAGACCCAATGAATGTTAAACAACGTGGCTTCACATGCATCGCACATCTCCCGGACACCTCTCACTGCTCTTTTCCAGGCTATCTTGGCTGAAAGACAAAGAAAACAGAAATGTAAAAGAAGCGTGCTTTGCTGAGTACATTTTTTGCTCAAACACAGCGAACATAAAGATGCAGCGGCAAATTGAGATCTTCTAGGCTCTCTTAAATGTAAGAACAGCAGCAGATTCTTTTTTTATTTCATTTTTATTTATGTGTATGTATGTATTGCCTGTGTGTAGGTAAGTGCACCCGTGTGGTGCAATACCCTCGGAGGTCAGAAGATGCTGTCGTATATCCTGTGACTGGAGTTAAGGACAGTTTTAGCTGCCATGTGGGTGCTGGGATTCGAACCTGGGTCTTCTGCAAGAACAACCAGTGTTCTTAACCTCTGAGCCATCTCTCCAGCCCCCAGCAGTAGATTCTTGTCTCATAGAGACAAGAATCTCAATACACAGCTCAGGCTGGACATCGACCATCCTAGTGCTTACATTTCCTGAGTGCTGGGATTACAAGCCCTAAGCAGATGTCTTCAGATAACATAACTCTTTAGAAGACTCAGAAAAACTAAAATGGTTGGCTTGGATTCAAGGCAGGTTCCTCAACCATGACACTTTGGGAAACATGTTATCGGGGTTACATGTGCACCATAGCATGTTCAATGGGGTCACTGGCCCTCCCATGAGATGCCAAGCAGTACAGTCACCCTCTTCACTATGAGATCACAGCTGGCTCCAATCACTACCATATGTACTCTGAGGGCCCAAAGCACAGATGTTAGGTAAGGAGAGGGAGAGGAAGAAGCTAAGATTTAGTGCATTTACTACACTAGGTACTTATGTTGGGTTTTTTTTCATTTAAGTAAATATAATGGCGCTAACTACTTTGCTAATGAATAGATGAGGTAACTAATTTTTCTATTACACACACCTGATATTCAAAGGTTATCTGGGAAGTCACATAGTCAAACAAGTAGTTGAGATTCAAATGTGGTGAACTATGTCCTTACACATTTATATATCATGATGATGTATCACATTTTTCATGCAAAGAAAATTTTATACTAATTTTTGTAGCAGCAGAAATAGGAAAATATGATTGTGATTTCATGAATAAGTCATTCAATTTCAAAAGGAAAGAACTGTATATAAAAGGTGGCATAGTCATAATTAAAATAGGAAAAAAAAAAAAAAAAGGAAGACGAAGGACTTATTCCACAGATTAAACAAAATGCAAAGAGAAATTCTTTAAACGAATCTGTAGAAGGCATGCTATACGTAACATCCTTACCGTCCTTTTTCACCCAGGACAAAGCTGTTTTTTCAGATGTTACTAATTGACAGAACTTATCACCTATTATATCCAAGATATATTTAGAAGTTTCTATGTCTATTTCATCATCTTCATAATTTTCATGTGTCCATAAACTCATGGCTTCATCATCATATTGGTCAGGAGAAGAAAAACCATCTATCCTAACCACTCCATTTTTACTAAATGACAATCTGAAACATTAAAACATAAAAGCATTAGATATTAAGATTAGAATTAATTTTTATGGTCATACTACATTACAAATACATGTTATAAACTAAAAACAGAGACAAGGGTAAATCCTCATCATACATTATTAATCAATGCACATAACTCCCACAGGCATTACCGAATGGCAATCATAAGCAGCACCAACTTTACGTTATTTCAGAAAGTAAGGGCTGGCTCAGTTCCACAGCACTTGCCTGGCATGCACAAGGCTCTGGGTTCAAACCTCCCAGTAGGGCAACAACCATAATCAAAGGAAAACTACTGGAAACTCTACCCAAGTATTTGAGGAATGACAGTGTACACACGTATGTCCAATGTCATCAAATCAGTACTGTTAACTTTTATTTTTTTCACCTCTCCATGTCCTAGCTACTGCCTCACTCTGTAGCCCAGGGTGGCCTTGAACTTGCACAGTAATTCCTGTCCAAGATTCCCAAGATCTGGAATTACAAGCATGAGCCACCATGCCTGACTTGTCATTTTATAACTAACTTTAATCTGAAACTGCTAAAGTAAATGTGTCTTTAATCACCTTAGAACTTTTAGTTTCGGATTAAAAAATGCTAACTGTACAGATAATCAAAAGTACTTAAAATATGGCCGTCACTCTTCAGATGTGCGATTAGAGCAGCCACTCTTACTGGCGGCTGGGTGCCTTAATTACTTCCCAGCCCCACCTTTCCATTTCCATGTTGGTACAGCTTTGATGGTTAGTTTTTGAGACGAGTTTCTTTTTTTTGGTCTTTTTGAGACAGGGTCTCCCTATAGCCCCAGTTGGCCTGGAACTCACTATGTAGACCAGGCTGGCCTTGAACTCACAGAAATCCGCCTGCCTCTGCCTCCTGAGTGCTGGGATTCAAGGGCCATGCGCCACCACGCCCAACCTAAGAGTTCTTTTATGTAGTCAAGGCTGGCCTCGCACTTGCTCTCAGCAGACTATGACCTTGAACTTCTGACCTTCCAGCTCCTTTTCTTTTAGAATTCAAATGCTCCTCTTGGCTTATTCTACCACCTTAACATGTTTTATTGTATCCCTGCCTGAATTATTTTTCCTCAGACTCTCCTGAGGTTTTCTTACCCTCTCCTAACTACTCTCCTTGATGACTGCTTTCTAACTTCTGCACTCCCTAAACCTGCCTGCCTTTTGGAGACCACTGGCTAGACTATACCAATACAGACATCTTAAGACTCTCTAATGAACATCAGGAATGTGTATTTAACAGATTGTTTGCCAACTTCCTGCAAATATTAGGAAAATAACAACAGACTATGTGATACATGCATAGAAGCACACTGAAGACTGCACAGTGCTTAATCTCATTTAACCCTCAAGTATGTGTAACAGAACTGCTTTTACCCTACAGCATTTTCACATGAAACAGGCTTATCTGTAATCCTCTACAAGGTCAGATGGTATCCAAACCCAAAAAAAGGCCAACTGTAGATTATGAGACATTAACCATTCTTTATTGGCTGGTTACCTAGTTTTTCCTTTTTTTTTTTTTTTTTTTTTTTAATTATTATTTGTATGTGTATGAGTGTTTTGACTTCATATGTTAAATGCATCTTTGTGTGCAATGCGCACGGACGCCAGAAGAGGGCATTGGATACCCTGGAACAGAAGTTAAAGATGCTTGTTGGTAGTCATGTGGGTGCTGGGAACTGAACCTAAGTCCTCTGCAAGAGCAGTCAGTGCTCTTAAACCACCAAGCCATCTCTCCAGCCCCATACCTAGTTTTTCTTTTCTTGAACCACCATGTCTATCAATGAATTTTTACATTTAAGGTATTTAGTAATATTTATATTAAATCAGTAAGTTAATAACTAAATGATTTTACGATTTTACGGCATGATATTCATAAATCTTCCATGTGATTTTATAACTTATAATTTTAGAGCTATGTTTAATATGTATTTAATGGAAGTAGGTTATTCCTATGAAACAATTTCTACTGCTAAGACAGTATACCTTAATTTATAGAAAAATGACTAAAGTATAGCTATATATTAAACTGCTTTAACAAAAATATATAAATTTTCAATTAAAAAAAAAAATCAAGAACTGGCTATTTTCTTTTCACATTTAGAAAAAAATACTACCAGCTGTTAGCTGGGCACATGGCTCAAACCTTTAATCCCAGCACCTGGAGGCAGAGGGAGGCGGATGGAGGCCTGTTCTACACAGTGAGTTCCAGGCCAACAAGGTTACAAAGTGAGACCCTGGCTCGAAACCAACAGCAGGTGAGAATTATTTTCAAATATAGCTCAGTAGTAGAGCACATGTGAGGCCATGGGGCTCAATCCCAAGCAAACCATCAAACCATACCAAAACATACCGTCCTGCAAACAAACAGAATGAAGAAAAAAGAAAAGTACATTTTCTCATTAAAGTGTTCCATAAAGAAATGTGAAAGGGCTGGGGTTAGCTGCTGTCAAAGTGTTGCACAAGTTTAATCAGACAGATTAAAGATGCATTCTCCTATCAAGAGAAGGGCCTGCCGGAATATGATGTGATTTGCAAGCTTCAGTAACTGCACACCTAGTTTTCATCTTGACTTACCGTCTGAAGTAGTAGAATCTGCAGAACACTGGTGAGTGAGCTGGCTCCTCTCCTTTCTTACTCCGAATAAGTCTGCACTCCCGGCACTTCTGTAAATTAGGTCCTATCTCACAGCAGGAGTCATCCTGAAGAAAGGACTCTCCGGTCTGCTTCAGCTTCTTGACCTTCCGCCAGTCTTTTAACACTGAACGAGGGATGCCAGCTGTAAGATCGGTAGGTTATTAGCAGGACTCTGTTTTACACAAATATATCTTCCTTGAGATGAAATTCAAATCAATTATACCAGTGTGATAGTACCAGACTGTGGAAAAGACTGAATTCCAGGTATGACTGACAATGACTAAGTCCACACAGCACGCTTACTCGATAACCCATTCTAACCACATGAGCCAAAGTCCTATCCCGGTATACCAGAAAAGCACCAAATTTTGTAGTTAATTGAAATCTAAATGATATGCACACTGATATACTAGCAAACATGAGACTCATTCATACTTTGCATTATTTAGTTTAAAATAAACCTGCAGCTGGGTGTGGTGGTTCATGCCCATAATACCCTTTTGGGAAGCCAAGGCAGAAGGATGAACATATGTTCTAGGCCAGCCGGGATCTTTAGCAAGGCACTCTTAAAAAACAAAAAAACCACCACCACCAAATAAAAAAATAAAAATTTAAATCACCATACAAGGGGCTGGAGACACGGTTCGGTGGTTAAGAGCACTGGCTGCTCTTGCAAAGGACCTGGTTTCCATTCCCAGCACCCACATCATGGCTAATAACTACCTCTAACTCTAGTTCCAGGGGAATCTGATGTCCTCTTCTGACCTTCTTGGGCACTACATAACACAGGTATACTTACATTCATACAAACACTCATGCATGTGGCTGGAGAGATGGCTCAGTGGTTAAGAGCACTGACTGCTCTTGCAGAGGACCCAGGTTGGCTTCCCAGCACCAACATGGCAGCTACAAACCATTCTTAACTCCAGTTCCAGGGGAATCTAAAGCCCTTTTCTGACCTCCGCAGCACTGCATGACATGGATGCACTCACATACATGCAGACAATACACTCATACACATAAAATAAAAATATTTTTAAAAATCACATAAAATTAAAAAAAAAAAATTTAAACCAGCACTTGGAGGCAGAGACAGGCAGATCTCTGAGTTCGAGGCCACCCATGGATACAGGGGGACCCAGTTTCAAAAAACAAGCAGATGTGAATTTTGATTGTCAACTACTTTAAATTGAGAAATACCTTGCAGGTATGTCTATAATCATGTTTCCAGAGATAATTGACCTGCCAGCAACTGAGGGGGAAAACCCACCATGAACATGGGCCTCAGCATGGGGGACATGAACTAAAGGGGAATGGAGGAAGAACTTTTACACACTGTTTCCTGACTAAAATGAGGTGATCAGCTTTTCTCTGCCACACCCTTCCACCATGATGTCCTGCCTTGAGATAGCCCAGTACAACAGAGCAGGCCAAGCATGCACTGAGAACTCTAAAACAGTGTAAGCTAAAAGGAATTCCTCTTCCCTTTATTTCTCAAGTATTTGTCATAGTGACCAAAAAAAAAAAAAAAAAAAAAAAACAATCTAAATTGGGACTTTGTAATCCAGTCCCTGACCCGAGGTATCCTGAAGGCAGAACAGAGTCAAAGATTATTCTCAGGTAAAATAAAAGATGGGAACACACGTCAGAGCAGGGCAGTATTTCCATCTCTAATGCCTAGAAGAAGGAACATACGTAAATATCCACTATTAATGTCAAGGGTCATTAACAGTGGTTCAAACTTAACACCAGGTGTATGACAGGGATTGAGAGCTGTAGGTAAAAAGGGGCAGCCAGGAAGAGATGGTGGGAAGGTTCTGTCAGACACCGACTGTTCAACCAAGGGAGCAACGTGAACAAATGTGTTTGGGGAAGAATGCAATGTCAGGCACGAAGCAGGGCCAGGGCTCTGCCTGGAGGTGTAGAACACTGACTGTGGGGTCAGATCCACCACGTACCTGACTCCAGTTCGTTCTTTTATCAGTTCTGACTGTAGCTGAATCACTGGTTGTGCATATCAGAGGACTTCCACTTAAATTTGTTGGCAATTTCACATCATAAAGTAGAATTATGTAAAATTCCTTATCGAAAAGCAGCCAACTTTTAATTACTACTACACATAGCAGATAGGAAGATATTTCAGAACTCTAGACGAAGCAAAGTCTGCTCTACCTCTGCAGCACGCAGGAAGGACAACTGAATGTGTATGGGTGTATGAAATAGATTACACATGTATGATACTGCATGTAATCACATTAAGTCCTCTAAGATGCAAACCTAATTCATTCTTTAAACTGACCATGACTGATAGCAACGCTGTCAAACAATGGGGAGAAAAATGCCATATTTAATTCATGGAGTGTTGGGCTTCTGAAAGCTTGCAATTTTAATAATGTTTCCAGATTGCTTATATCAGACACAAAATAACCCTACCCTTTTAATAGATGGTGTTTAATAGTCAACATAACATTGGAATGTCAAAGAATGGGATTTAAAATAGTCTTTCTAAAACTAAGTATCAGTTACCATGTAGGGAAGATCTGATTAAGCCTCACAACCTCAGAGAGATAATACTTTGGCCACTGTCTTAGAATCTTACTTGGAAACATGTATATGTACTTTCAAGCTGAAAAAAGAATGCACACGTCATTTAAAAATAATTTAGGGGCTGGAGAGATGGCTCAGCGGTTAAGAGCACTGGCTGCTCCTGCAGAGGCCCTGGGTTCAGTACCCAGCACCCACATGGCAACTAACAACTGTCCTTAACTCCAGTTCCAGGGGATACGATGCCCTCTTTAGACCTCAGTGGGTACTGCATGACACAGGTGCACTTAAATATGTGCAGGCAAAACTCATACACATAAAATAGAATAGTAAAATATTTAAAAACAATAATTTAATGAATTTTACTTCAAAAGTATTTTCTACTTGTTAAAAGCTATTTTCTGGAAGTTTGCCTCAAAAAATTTTAATGCGTAACATCAAAGAAAATGTTATATGAGACTAAGATAACTACTGACTAGTAAGCTTACTGTGACTGCACTTAGAGGGAACAAGAAGTGAGGAGAAAGAAAGAACACGTAGAGTCTGATACTCAGAAAAATGGAGGAGTCCTTCAGTGTCAATCAACCTGTCTTCTTGCATTTCAGTGTGTCATAGCTCTGCCTCTATTCGAACATGTCCTTCTTTCTTTTACTGCCTAACTATCCTTCTTGATGACTCCATCCTCCTGGTACCCCCTCCCTCACTTTCCTATGGCTTCCCCACAGGCGTGTGGGAAAGACCTCGTTCTGTGAAAAGGCACAAACAAAAGCCTTCAAGCACCTAAGGGCTTATGGGAGCCCTTTTGTGAGCATCCACATTGTCACAGATGTTTACTTATTGTACGTGGACGAATACACAGATATAAGACTGTTCAATGCCTTCTGCATTGTACACAAACCTACAGAGAAATATGCAAACTAGGAAAAACTACCTCAAAAGACACATAAAAACATTTTATAGTGATTTTACTGGCAAGTAGGCCTTACTTTGTTCAGCTACAGCCACAAAGGAAAATATAACAATTACTCTCAAAATGTTAATTGGATATAGAAATAAACATAAAACCACAAGCTTCTATCTTTTAATTTCTTCCCTTTTTTAATCATGGCAATCTCAATAAGCTTACAATTTTGTTACCTGGTAAAAATGATATGGCCCATAGTCACAGTATTACTAAGTAGTGCTCCTTTAAAGATAAGTAGGATGTATTTTTTAACAAAATCTTGTCATAAATATTTTAACTATTAACTATTAGGAATACTTTTTCTCACAACAGTCAAAGTTGTGTTTTAAGAGTTCTTCGAAAAGATCAAAATTATAAGAACTCCTAAGTCACACACTGAACTGTACAGATTATCAAATGCTGGGTGGAGTATGTCTCTTTAAAAGAGGATGTAAGTCTTCTCCTTTCTCCTCTTACAAGGTACTTAGGGATGGAGATTAAAAACAAGACCTTTAGGAGTACCCACGTCACGTGCTGCGACGCTCAGTTTCTCTGGGGTAAAACACACTTACATACTCACCACTGTTACTGCTCTGCAACTTCAATTTACTTTTCTCTTTGGCACTCCTGCTGAGAACTCCATTGGGTTTCGAGTCTTCTTCAAGTTCACCTTTCCTCTTCTGCAGATCATTCTGTTTTTTCTTGTAGGTGGGCTTGGGCTGCCTTTTGGTCCTCTGCTCTGACCTGCTTTCACTTCCATCTGAGTCTGCACTTTCAGAGCCAGATTCGTAAGTTCGTTTGGTTTTCCTCCTACTGACTTTATCCTCTCTAATGTATCTGTCCCCTTTACCATCTACGCTATTTTGTATATCACTGGATGTAGAGGCTATTAAGTTGACAGAACATGGCTTAATGATTTCGGACACAGAATTCCCTGAATTTTCCATTTTATTAGTATTTTTATCTTCTTCTGAATGTCGGGTAAGCCAGGCTTTTTTCAATTTAGTATGGTAATTGGGCTGGCTTGTCTGGGAGGCCTGCCCATTTCCTACAGAGATTGCTTTGTTACCTGCAGTACAGATGAAGGTGCTATCTGGAGGAAGAGAGGTGGGAGCTGGCAGATTTCTCGCAGTGCTACATTCAGTCTCACTGACGTTACTACTCTTAGACTGAGCTGCAGCCAAGGCTGCTTTGTGCTTCTTTAGATGGATAAAATCGGTTGTTCCTGAGAAGCCAGAGCCAGACTGAACGAGACTCCCTACCTTACTGCAGGCTGGAGAAAGTGGAACTGTGGTGCTGACTTTGCTTTGCTTTGTTTGCGCAACTGACTGACTGACACCCTTTGAAGAGGAACATTCTAAGGATGCAGAGGCCAAAATGGTACTTGGTAAAGAATAAACTGCTTCAGAACTGCTCAAGCTGGAAACACTGGTGGCTGTGGCAGCGGACGCGAACCCATCCGTTCTGGTATTAGGGATGGCATTCACAGCGGACATGACTGAAACAGGAACACTGCCCGGAGAGACAGCGTCAAGGTGTTTTTCGGATTTAACATGAGCACTGTCTAAATTCACATTTGATAGAATGATTCTTCCCGTCTCTCCGGCTTCTGGTTTGAGGTAATCTGTTTTATGTGCCCCAGTTGAGGATCTTTCACAAACTCCATCTTTGGAAGATAACGGTATAGCTGACACACTATCATTTTTTGTACTAGAAGGTGGACGCACAATGACAGATGCCACAGCAGCCTGTGACTTTCCACTGCTTTTCTCCACTTGCCAATCAGCTTTCTCTTTGCTGAGGTTATTAGATCTCCACATTTCTGTCAGACTCTGTTCAGAAGAACTCTTAAAATTTGCCTGAGAGTCCTTTGGCTCAGGAATTAGAGTTGGAGGCTTCTGTGATTCTTGAACTTTCCCACCAGCATTTACTGGCATCACTGGAGTCAGAGTTGGAGGGGAAAGGCTACTGTAGCTGCTTTCCTTTCTTTCCAAACTATGATGAATTGGTGGGTGGAACACTGGTGCCCTGTGCAAAGCAGGCATACTGCGGAGTGTGTTTGTAGAAGAAACTGTCAAGTGGGTAGGACTCCTACAATCATTTCTGAAAGTTGTTACTGAGTGAGATGCAATCTGATGGGGAAGATGGTCTGCTATCTTACCAACTAAACCTTCAGTTTCTGGTTGGTGTTTAATCAAAGGAGGAGGCTTTGAAAGAGAGGAGATAAACGAAGTCAGAGTTTGAGGACTAGCTGCTGCAGAAAGGTTACTCTGCTTCTCAGTGTAAATATTTGAAACTTCTTTGGATGGGTAAGATCTTGGAGGCTCGTTGACCACACTATTAGACAACGTAGTGAAATAGTTGCTTTGAGGCAAACTCTGAGGCACTGAGTGCTTCATTTTATAGAGCTCTGATACTGAGCGGTCTACATCTTTATCTTGTTTGATAGCATGGCTTTTAGGACTACACGATGATGATGCTACTCTGGAATAATCTCTCTCAACCTCAAGCCCCTTGATTTTAGTCGTAAAAGGAGCAACATCAATACTTTCTTGAAGAATTCGACGATGTTCCTCCTTATATTTGTTTAACCTCTCCCCAGTCTCCTGAGGTGGTCTCTGCAACTGATTTAATACGGGGTCCACAAAATGCCTATGCAAGTGACAATCTTTTCCAGGCTGTGACCTGTTAAGATCCAGGTCACCTTTTGCAGCTGTGGATGCGGCAGAGCATAATGGATCCAGGAAAGCTTTCCTCTCCAATTCACTACAAAGAAAATACACAAAGATTTCTGTAATCCCTTCTGTATGCAAAATACAAAGATACTTTAGTCAACTAAACTAGAAGGGATAGCAATACAAACAGAACAGAAGGAGGTATAGTGGCTAACAGCTAACATCTCACCACTTTGAAGGCCAAGGCAGGAGTACTGCCCTGAATGTGAGGCCAGACTGTCTCAAAACACCAAAATAAAATCTAAAGAACAGTATTCTCTCCAAAGTCTAATTTGGGCATTAGTTTTAATTTTTTATTTTTAAAACTTACTTATTTTGTTTGTTTTGAGACAACAAACAGGGTGCCCCTGTATCACCAGCTGGCCTGGAATGTGCTACGTAGACCAGGTTAGCCTCAATCCCATAGTCAGCCTGTCGTTCTCCTGAGGGCTGAGATGAAAGACATGTACTACTGCCATGCTCAGCTGTGAAACTAATTCTAAGTCAAGTATTTAAAAGGTGAAATGAGAAAAGTTATGAAAGTCAACAGTATTTGTTAAGTTTTAAACATTGGTGAACTTACTCTTTATGGTGATCTACTAAAGATTTTGTCACTGGTGGACTGGAATGCGCTGCAATTTTATGAGGTCGATGAGATTCTGCACTGGAAGGTCTGACAGGAATGTGACTAAGTAATCCAATACCATCTGCTGAAGTCACAGGAGTAGGCTGATGTAACCAAGGACTGGGAGAATTCTATTTAAAAAAAAAAAAAAAAATCTGGACTTCAGTTACTTAAAAAATAAAACCTCAACTCTCAAGCTAGGTGAGGTGGTGTGGAGTTAATACGAGCAGCCACCATCACAGTAAAACTCCTGACCCGTGTATTTATGAAGGCTGAAGCCAGACATTTTAAAAAATAAATCTGGTGAGAAATATTCAATTATTTAACCAACATTAGAAGAACTTTTCATATTATATTCTAAACTACACATTAAAATAGTAACTTTCGGGGCTGGAGAAATGGCTCAGTGGTTAAGAACACTGGCTGTTCTTGCAGAAGACCTGGGTTTGAATCCCAGCATCCACATGGCAGCTAACAACTGTCTGTAACTCCAGTTCTAGGGGATCTGACGTCCTCTTCTGTCCTCTGCAGGCACTGCACGACATGGGTGTACTTACTCACATGCAGGCAAAACACACACAGATTAAAAAAAAAAAAAAAAAAAAAAGTAACCTCCAGAAATACTCTCCTAATAAGAGAGCTTGAAATTAGTGTCACTAGTGTATATACATGGTGTCTAGAGAACCCAAATTTATGATTTTCTATGATTCCAACACCAGAAGAATTTGCTGCTCCTGGCAAAACCAGAACGATGCTCCTAAAATGTTATTCTACCAGAAGGAGAAATGACGAAACCAAGTCTATCTGCCAATTTCTACCATAATTTTTCAACAATAGCTGACATACAACTCACAGATCATTATATTTTCAAGGGATAAATCTATTCCACTGTATTACATAAGCTAAATATTGTTGGACCATTAAATATGGAGGCGTGGAAGTAGAGTTGTTTCTAATTCAGTACACTGCCTGTCTGACAGATTAACACGTATACATGCAATCTTTCATGTTGAGCCATACATTTAATAACATTTAAGAATTTTCTTTTATACTGTGACTCACTAAAATTCTTTAAGAGCATGCTTTGTGAATCTGACATCAGAATGACAGTCACATGCCATTAAAATCCAAAACACCTTTAGTTTTACCTAAAGAGACAAATCTTGTAACACACAGGGTAAGGTGTAACACACCAAAGGTAGATTGTTGCAAATAAACATCAACTACAGCTATAAACCTCACAAGAGACTAACGCCTAATGATTGATACACAGAAGGCACCATTTAAATATAAAATGACAAAAGACAACTATTACATAAGACTTAGAAATCTAAGTTACAGTAAAGAATGCCAATAATAAAAGCTTTTGCCCTATTTGAAGTACCATTTAAAATTATTTCCTAATCTAGTGGCTTGTACCGTTTGACCACTGTAATCACAAACACTAGGGTACTCATTTTTCCTTAAAATGTTATTTTAATTTACACCTTTATATTACAATTTTACAAAAATCAAAACCTGAGGCCTGTTTTAGTTTAACACCATTTTTTTAAACATTTTATTTATTATTTTTATTTTATGTGTGTGTTACGCCTGCATGTAGGTAAGTACACCCGTGTGGCGCAATGCCCGCGGAGGACAGAAGAGGCTGTTGGATCCCCTGGAACTGGAGTTACGAACAGCTGTTGGCTGCCATGTGGGTGCTGGGATTCAAACCTGGGTCTTCTGCAAGAACAGGCAGTGTTCCTAACCGCTGAGCCATTTCTCCAGCCCTAGTTTAACATCTTAGTGACCAGAAAAAACACGGACACAAAGGCTGGAGAGTCAGTCTAAGTCTTCTAAGCTGTTTTGCAGAGTCTGGAACTTAGGGAAGAAGATTCTGGTATTCCTACCAGCTCCTGGATTCTCTGTCCCTCTATACTTATGGCACAAGAGCACACCGTGAGTGCAGTGGGCACTGGGGTCACCAGGCCTGGTTTCAAATTCTGGTGAAGTAAATGTGGGTAATCATTCTTGACTATGCATTTTCTACATTCTAGCATGACTTCACATATGCCATGATACCATCAAGAATGAAAATGGAATCAAGATCCCATTTCTAAAAGAAAAATCAGAATGGGAAACTTGTGATCATGGAAGTACAACTCAAGAACTGAAATCTTGACAACATCAAGTGTGTCAGTATTGGTACAGAATAAACTGAAGCAACCACTGTCAATTTCATTAAAGAAGGCCAAAGCTCATATGAAGGCAAGCTGAAAGGATGAGGATAAATCACGGGAAATATCCTTCAAAATTATCAGACTATCAAATCCATAGTAGGTGCCCGTCACTATCACCATATTCCATTACAAATGGGTATTAATGACCTTGATCGATGCCACCACTTACCACCCAAAATTACACCAGTTTCTCTGACAAACCTTGGCATGATCACTGGCACACGCACATCTGCTGACATTTCTGACTGCTCTGTGTTAACAGTGTCATTCCTGAAGGAATGAAATACTTCACAGCACTGTCTTACAAACTGCCACTTCCAAGATACATATTATGGCTATTGCCCAGGACGTGGCACCAGAAGTGTTGGGTGCATCCAACCCTGGGGCAATACTATTCCCAAGAGTTAAGGCCCTACCAAGAATGGCTGAAGGAAATGTGGCAGATAGGACTGCGCAGTGAGGGGAGAACGCTTGTCAAGCACGGAGAAGATGACACACAATAAAGGCAGAGTGTTAAAAACAAAAGGAAACCTAGACTTGTGTTAATACAGATCAAGGACACACTAAATACAATAAGCTGATATAAAGAAGAAAAACATTAAGTGAATCTACTCTCCAAGAGCAGCTAATGCTCCTAACAACTGAGCCAATTCTCCAGCCCCCTTAAGTTTGAGGGCTACACTGCTCAAAAATACTTGATTGTAGGCCGCAACAGGTTCAGTAAAGTACTTGCCTCCATGCCTAACTGTGTAAGTTTGATTCCGACCCCACATGGTAGAAAGAGAACCAGCTGCTGTGAGAGAACTACAGGCCTCCTTACCACACATACAATAAAAATATGTATGTTCAAAAAAACCCCCAAATCCAAAGTAGTGAACCATGTACTTGAGAATGACTAAAATGCTAAATTTAATGTTAAATGTTTTCACCACAAAAAAAGCAAAGGTATTAAAATAAAATAGTACTGGGGAAGGGATACTTACAGAGTATGTTGGCCAGTACAAAGGCCAAGTTGTCACCTCATGGTTGTTTAACAGTAACATCCATTCCTTAACGTTTTTATATTGAGTCTGATATTGCCACTTCTTTTTAAATTATTACTGTATTTTTCAAAGACTGTATTCATTTCTATCTTATGAGTATCATGCCTACAGGGAGAGAAGTGCACCACATGCAGACCTGATGCCCTTGGAGGCCAGAAGGTGGCACTGGATCTCCCGGAACTAGAATTAAGGGCAGGGGTTAGCTGCCATGTGGGTGCTGGGAACTGAACTGGGGTCTTGTGGAAGAGCACCAAGCCCTCTTAAGTGCTGGACTAGCCATCTCCCTAGTCTGTGTTCCCATTTCTTTGTGTAAAGTTGATTTGTCAGGGGAAGCAGTGTGACAAAGCAGTGTGACCCCCCGTTTGCCACCTTTACCAACAATGTAAGCTACTTTCAATTCTGCCAAATGCTAGGCGTCACTAACCTTGAGCAGCCTTAAGACCATGAAGGGTTTATTCATTCAGCTATTCAACAGGCAATATAACATTCATTTAAAGAAGAATTTGATAACACATACAAAAAAAACCCTATTTAATACAAAATTTAGCCCTGAAATTTCACTACCAATACAAAACACCATAAATAAGTCTATTAAACACTATGATTTATGAAAGTTATTTCTTTTTATAAAGGGACTTTTTTGAAATTTCCAGATCTGCTCTGAGATTTTTTTTTAAGCATCTGCAAATATAACCAACTGAAAAATTTTAATACCGAAAAAAAAAATACCTATAGAGGTTGACTGACAAATACACGTTGCTATGCGGCAAACGCACTGGCACTTACCCTCCGTAATGAAGCTTCGGTATTAACTGCATTTTCTGGGTGAACCCACTTAGAAGAAGGCAGACCAAGTCCCGAATATGCATGTGTTCCATTTGGATATTGCCAAATGATTGGATAAAGGCCAAGCTGATTGTATGAGGCAGGAGGATGGGCTTGTCCAAGGAGATGAGGCTGTAGCAGCTGCTGCTGCTGGTGTGCTAGTGCTAGGTGGCTCAGGCTGTTGGCATGAGCGTTCTCCAAGCGAGGATGGCCGCCCAGCAGGGAGGCAGCGGGCATTCCAGGTAAGACAGTGGGAAGCAAATGAGGGTGAACAGAATGGTGTGGCCCACTAGTGAGAGGGTGAGTGTTAATGGTGGCTAATGCAGTTTGACTAGATGATCCAGCTAGTAAGTGAGGGGCAGGAGTCAGAGCAGGGTGATGGGTGCCTGGGTTTAAACAGGTTCTATGGGATGAGGAATGAAGGGAGAAAGGATGCTGGCTCAAAAAAGGTGAAATGTGGTTGGCTCCTGTTTCTGATCCAATAAGAGCAGGGTCCCTATAAACTGTGAAATGCTCATTTTTATCAATGATAAGAGGGCTCTTTGTAGCTTCCAACGCAGCTCCTCGAACAGGTGCTGGATGAGAGGTGCACCTTGACAGCTCGTGGTCCGCCTTCCTTACCAGTCGTCTCTCACTGGCCGCTGGACTGTTCACGTGAGCGGCCTTGGGTCTCGCAGAGTCAGGACAGTAGGTGACCTTAGGTTTAGCAACTTCAGGTGAAGAGCTGGACTTGGTCTTGTGGGTAGTGACTGAAGCACTGAGTTTAGATTTTATAGTTTCCGGGGGTGGACTTCGCTTTTGTGGCTTATCTTCTGTGGCAGAAACTGCACTTAAAGATGACATATAAGAGATATAATGATTTCTCTCTTTTTCAATATCAGCATGATCATTTCCTGAAGAAGGACTCATAACACCTGACTGGGTTAAATCTACTTTAACTACATCACTGACCCAGCTCTGGTCAGAATCTTGCTTTGCTATTTCCAGAAATTTAGCATTTGAAACTGAATGTTTAGAGTCACTAACATTAGGGTCCATTTTCTCAAGTGTTTGGAGGCCAAAGGCACCTGAGCTCTCCTGAACCATCCTTTCCGAATTCGTGTCATTGGTAATATCAATAACACATTTAGGTGTAGGTGATCTGGAGACAAATTTCTCCTTTGGTAATAACTCCATGGGATGTGTGTTTTCCATATCGCATTCTTGGAGAACAAAATCATTAGGATTATGGTTAACAACTGGGGTTTGTCCTGATGAGTGGATAGTCCGTTTTTCTTGAAGATGGGTGTCAACAGACTTCCATTTCTCTCCTTCATGGTTTTTATCTTCCTGTGTTTGATCCCAGGGAGGCTGATTCTCTATTTGGGTCTCTCCTGCCTTCTCAGCAATCTGGGATTTTCCTTCTTCTCCATTTATCTTTGAAGTGCTTTTACTTTTCATCTCATACTCTGGTGATTGCTCAGAGGAGTTATTGATTGTTCTCTTACTTGAAGTTTCTGAGTCACTGTTCTCAGAAAAGTCTGAAACACCGTCAGTCCGCAGCCTTTTCATACTAAGCTTCTTTTCACCCTCCTCAGGATTCCTCCTTTTATTTACCAAGTGTCTGTTTTTACCTTTAGGGTTTTCTGTGAGATTAAAAAGAGTTTTATTTTTCATGATCAATAAGGATATTAAAAAATACGTTGGGGAGGACTGAAGAGATGGCTCAGGGGTAAGAGCACTGGCTGCTCTTGCAGAGTACCAGGGTTTGATTTCCAGCACCCACATGGCAGCTAACAACCATCTGGAACTCCACTTCCAGGGGATCTGATGCCCTCTTCTGACCTCCACAGACACTGCACGACATATGTTCACCTACCTACAAACAATATATCCATACACATAAAATGTTTTTAAAAATTGTATTCATTAATTTTATGTAAGTTCTCTCTCTCTCTCTCCTCTCCCCCCACCTCTCTCTCATATGCACCCATGTCATGTCGTGCCCTCAGAGACCAAAAGAAGGCACTGAATCCGCTAGAAAAGGAGTGCTCTTAACCACTGAGCCATCTCTCCAGCTGCTCAATAAACGCATTTTAATGCGTCTTTATTCATTCCCCAGTCCTTAGAAAACAAAGTGGGCCCTACCTGCTCGTGATGTGTAATCATGTTTCTCCTCCCTCATCTCCTCCTCAGGCACACTGCTATCTGAGCCCTTCCTCTTACTCAGACGGACATGTCTGTGCTGCTGTTGCTGGTGGGTGTTCTGTTTTGATCCAGCAGCTTGAGAATTCATTGCTGGTCTGGGACTATTTGCTTGAGCACGTGTATAATGACCCTAAAAATAACCAATGAACAGTGATTACTTACTGCCTGATTTCAAATAAATTATAGAAAAAAATATTTTCTAAAAATCCATACATACGTGAACAGTGTTGGTATTTTGATTGGCACGAGACCTGCGTCGTGATGTAATGCCAATATTTTCACCTTTTAACAAAGAGTGAACAACATCATCTAGAAAGGTCATTTGAACCATAGAAGGATCGACATTCTGTGGTTCTAGTACCTAATCCATGACAAAACGAAACAAAACAGAGATTAAATCCAATCAACTAGTAAGTGTAACATTAGTACATTTTTTTTTTTAAACTTAGTTGAACTTTTTACAAATCGGTTTAGGAACTTGACTTTTTAAGATACCACCAGGCTTACATAACCTATATTAATCACCAAAGACAAAATTCCCTTTTCTTCTATACTCGCGATGAGTTCCTCACAGAGTAATCAACAATGAAATGGGGTGAAAACTGTGTTCTGAAAGCTTTCAGTGCAGACAGGAAACCCCTTGGGAAATATTATAGGAAAGGAAAAACTGAAGTTTAATTAAGTTTCACTCAGCCTAAGGATTTGAAAGAAAAAAAAAAACCAGATCAATTAGGGATCAATAGTCAGCACTGAAATAAATTAGACAACATCATCACTTTCTGATGTCAAGTGGCCTCTATGTAACAACCAGTTTTTTTTGGGGGGGGGGGTCTTTTTGAGACAGGGTCTCCCTGTAGCCCCAGCTGTCCTCGAACTCACTATGTAGACCAGGCTGGCCTTGAACTCACAGAGATCCGCCTCCCCAGTGCTGGGATTAAAGGCGTGAGCCCCCACACAGAACATCCAGTATTTTTAAGTGTACTAGGATTGTGTGACTAAAACCCCTGTATACTATCAGCCCCATAAAAATTTTCTTCCAAAAACTATTTGAGAGACTTGAGAGGGAGAGGGGCGTGAACAAAACCATGCAATCATCACACACAAGGTATGCTCGACATGTGCAAAGCCCTGGGTTTGATTCCCAGCACCCAAAACAGCCGACTATTTACCTGGTCATTCATAACGATCATGGTGCGGGTGAAGAGATCATGATGAGTAATGATGCCAGTAAACCACTGGGTGGCAGAATCTCGTCTATACACTCTCACTCTGTATCCATTTAAGGAATAAGGACCTTAAACAAACAAACACAAGAAACAGGGATATCTTAAATGAAGACACTTTCCCACTTGGGCATTACCTTTAGGGGAAACAATGCTATGTGACAGATGAGGAATAGACAAGATTAGGTTTTAATGCCACAGGAGATCACAAACCTCTAATATTATAGACACCACTACACATGGAAATAACACACTTTTAAGTTAAAAAGAATGTTTTTGCAATCATGAACTAGTAAAAGAACAGTACAGATGTAAAGTTATATAGTGGTCTAGAATACACTAAGGATGTTTAGCAACTTCACAAGTTCGGAAAGATGACTTTGTGTCCGAAATAGAAAAGTAAGTTGTGATTTGATTTCTTTGAGACAGCTAGGAAGAGGAGGAAAGCATAATAAATACTCACACCCACAATTAATACAACGTGGAATTTGCCTCGATTGTGCTACAGACGGAGAGGGACTATTAATAGCCTACTCTTCTTTCCTAAAAGTCTAAGTAAACATCTTGGTTCTGTCAACAAACTCCAAACAATGAGGGACAATGGGGATGGAAAGACACGTCATCAATTGCAGTCAAAGTCCTTTTCTGGATCTCTTGACTTCTAGAAAGTAAAATCTCTTAAAATGGCATTATGGAACACATGAAAACTGGAAGTTCAATTTTTACATTTGATATTAAGAAGCTTCTCTTCCCAGGGTAACAACAGTATGGTATTCACTGGGTAGGACAGCTAAAGCAGGAGTTGTGGCTAGAAAACAGACACATGGAAGTTCAATTAATTTTTCTGTATGTTTGAATTCTTTTTTTGTGTGTTTGAAATTCCCCATACTAAAGCAGAGTATTTACACTGACAAGCATTTAGCGCCTATATGGCCTGCTGTTGTACATAACCACAATAGTTAAATTTTCAAGATTACTGCTTACTAATAGAGATGGCATCAAGGCTTTCTTGTTGGTTTTCTGTTTGCTTGTTTTGAGACAGGGTCTCACTACGTAGACCATGCTGGTCTAGAACTCAGGGAGACCCATCTGCCTCTACCTCCCCCAAGTGCTGGGATTAAAGGCTGGCATGAATGTTAAAGATTAAGACAAACATGGGAATTTAACAATAAAACTGTATTGTAAACATTCAATAAAACATCAACAGTTCATGCCATATTTTAGCTTTGATCCAATTTCATAAAACCCTTGTATTTACAGTATAATTTTCTGCTATAAAAATTAATTACTAGAAATTATAAAATACCACTGGTTAGAAAACTCCAGGTTGGGGCTGGAAAGAGATAGCTCAGTGGTTAAACACACTGGCTGCTCTTGCAGAGGACCTGAGTTTGAATCCCAGCACCCACATGGTGGCTAAATGACCTGGGTTTGAATCCCAGTACCCACATGGTAGCTAATAACCTAATAATGGTCTGTAACTCCAGTTCCAGGGAATCTGAGCCCTCGTCTGACCTCCATGGGCATTGCACAACATGGGTCCACTTATACACATACAGACAATACACCCCTAAACATAAAAATATTTAATAAGTAAGAGAAAACCACATGTCAAAGACAAACAAGTAACTTAGCACACAAAGGAAGCAAGTCTGAGACTAACACTGTGATAACTAATGCAGGAGGAGCAAGGACCTGCACAGAGCCCATCCCAGGCTACAGAGGAAATCAGTTCTGACTGAACAACTCTCAGCTGCAAACAATGTTTCCTTTTCCTTGAAGGACACACCTCAAACATGCTATATTTTGGAAAGTTGCTTAATCAACAAAACACCTGTGTAGATATAATTTCATGTATATAGTTCAGATTATTCAATAAACTACTAAAATTATAAAGCATTCAATTAAAATTACTGTAATTTGCCCATATGCAACTGAAATTATTAGACTGCATAAAATTGAAAAGAAAATAAATTCGTTTAGTCACAGAAAAAAAAGTGTAACTTCAAAATAGACACCTTGCATAAAAATCTCCTGAGCCTTCTGCTTCTTCACCCAGACCTTTACCTCTTCATCAAGTCGTGGGTTGTCCCTGAGTATGGGGTTTAGGCTGTCTGTGTTGTCCTGAAATTTTAAGTAAAAAGAAAAGGCCCATTATATTTCTGTAACATTAATGCTGTAACCTACACGTTTAAGAGACTTTAGCAATTTCCTTCATATAAAAGCATGTAAAACATAAATTTATAAACTGGAGTTTATTTAGCAGCTACATAACAATACCACATAGACTACACTTAAAATAGGATGTTGAGTAATCTATGTTCTAACTTTGTCAGTACGTTCTGTCACTCAGCTTTTTAAAGATTTTTATTATTTCTACAACATACAAATCAAATATTATCAGGTTATATAAAGATGGTAACAAATGATTCCAATTACTTTAGTAAATAATGGATATGTATGTATGACAGGTTACCTATCTGCCTCACAAAAAGCCTTAAACAATTTTTTAAAATTTATTTATTATTTTTATTTTATGTGTATGCGTGTATTGCTTGCGTGTAGGTAAGTGCACCCATGTCGTGCAATGCCCACGGAGGTCAGAAGAGACTGTTGGAGCCCCTGGGACTGGAGTTACAGACAGTTGTTAGCTGCCATGTGGGTGCTGGGATTCGAACCTGGGTCTTCTGCAAGAACAACCAATATTCTTAACTGCTAAACCATCTCTCCAGCCCCAAAGCCTTAAACAATTTAAAGCTACCATAAATCCTTAATTCATTGTCTTGATTTAAATGTCATCTAATTCAATTCTACCCACTCATGTGGCCAGTAATTCCAGTGCTAAAACTTTTTTCCAGCGCATACAGGCAATTAAAATTACATTAATAGCTGGGCGTGGTGACGTACGCCTTTAATCTCAGCACTCAGGAGGCAGAGGCAGGTAGATCTCTGTGAGTTCAAGGCCAGCCTGGTCTACATAGTGAGTTCCAGGACAGCTGGGGCTACAGGGAGACCCTGTCTCAAAAAGACCAAAAAAAAAAAAAATTAATGACATTATTTTCCTAACAAGTTGGGCCTAGATACAGAGACAATCCCACGGTCAAAAGGTTTCGCAGTCTGTGAGCTCCACTAGTCAGTCTCTATCTCCCTCCGCCCTCTTTCTCTGTCCGCACCTCTCATCATCTACATTTGAGCCTTTGCTGCAGAAGCCCTTGAGAAGCAGGAACAACAAAGCACTACATCTGTTCAAGTAGAGATGGATCATGGGAACTGGTGAAGAAAAAGGAGCTAAATCAGAGGACTTATATCTGGTAAATAAAAACCACTGAGCAATTTTTAAAATCCAGAAAAGAGCTAAATTAAAAGAATTATAGCTAATGAATACAAATAATCTGGCAATTTAGAAAGCCTAAAACGTGACTCCAGGGAATAAAGATCCCCAAGTCAAATAGATCACACATGCTTCTGTGCAAAGTCCATCCAAATAAATGTTTCTGGCTCATCTGCCATTGCTTTAAGCTCCTTCCCTGTGTTCTTGAAATAATACTGCAGCATATAACCCAACGTTTCCTACACACAGTGAAAACCAGAGGCAGAAACAAAGGAGGGCCTTTAAAATTATTATCTATATTCCTTGGAAAATAAACAGAAAGCTATTAAAGCATTGAAGAAGAAACCAATATAGTATAAAGGGTCACATAAAAAATGGGTAAAATTTGTCCATTAACATATCTTTCTGAAAAGAATCTTTCTAGCGATCCCCTTTTCCTAGTCTCCACTGAGTAACAAATTGCAGAGTGGCGGTGTACTCAGTGTTAAGACTCGGCTCCAAGCTAGACAAAAGTCCAGCATGGATGGGGGCAGGAACCTTTTAGCTGAGGAACTACTGGCAAATGATAGCTGTTGGGAGAGGGGTGGTCTGTCAGTTTTCTTTTAAGAGTGTGACCAGGTGATGGAGTATAGACTCAAGGTCATTTGTTGAACAGAAATCAGACTCCATTGACCTTTAAAAATTAGACGATATGAAATGGGGGCTGGGGAATGGTAAAGTTGGGGGGTTGGTAAAGTGGGGTGGAGACAGTAGAAGGGTCTTAATATGAGCATGTATTTACATGGTATAAAATTGTCAAATAATAAAAATAACTTTAAAAATAAGACTTGGGGCTAGGCGTGGTGGTGCACACCTTTAATCCCAACACTAGGGAGGCAGAGGCAGGCGGATCTCTGTGAGTTCAAGGCCAGCCTGGTCTACATAGTGAGTTCTTGGTGGGTTTAATCGTGAGCACCCAAAACCAAAATGGAACAGTAGAAACAAACTGCAAACTTACTGTAGTCATTTTAGGAATAGAAAATACCATGAAAAGTTCTATGAAGTTAGCCATCTTTGATACATTCCAGCTGAATCTAGTCTATGAAAAACATAATATAGGAAACTTCTTTCTAAAGAAAACCACCGTTACTTTCAGGCAGCTGTGACTGTACCATTGTTAAAGGTCCTCGCTTGAACTCACATATACACACCAAATACCTTCTACCTACATGGAAAGTTATAGCCTCTCTGCTTTGTCTGATCACTGGTTTTGAGATGAGGTTTATCCTGTATCCCAGGCTGACTTCAAACTCAGGGTGACATTCATTCCTCAGCTTCACAACTGCTTGGATTCCACTCCTGCATCATCTTCCTGTAAGGCAGTGCTGCTACCACCATGCAGACAGGAGCAGACAATAAAACGAGCTGCTTTTTCTTATTTTACAAATTAGAACTATTGGGATATAGTTGTTTATCACCATTTATTTTTATCTTAGCAATATGCAGAATTAATTTGTGTTTCAAATATCATCTGATAACACACAGATACCTTCTAGGTAATGAACCATTAATTGTCTAGTGAAAAAAAGCAAACTATTAGAAACTGATATTGGAAGCACAATGTGATTGTAAATAGTCTGTGAGCTTCAAAACCAGCATAGGTAACACACACACACACACACACACACACACACACACACCCCTGTACAACTGATAATAACAACTGGGGTTTCATGCACAGGGTAAGAAACAACACAAACATCAAACAAAAATTGGAAATGTGATCTCTTCACTGATACAAACTTCTGTAAGTTCAAATTTCTATGTACCAAGTTCCTCATCTATAAGGCAATTACTAATATCTGTGTATATCTTTTTAAAGTTTTCTTTTTTTAATGTGCACGAGTGTTTTACTTGCATATGTGTAAGGGCACAATGTGTTCAATGCTTGAGGGAGCCAGAAGGCAGCGTCGGATGCCCTGGAACAGGAGTTATAGTCAGTTCTAGGTGCTGGGACCAAAGCTAGAGCGCCTCTGCAAGAGCAGCGGGGACTCTCAACTGCTGAGCCATGTTTCTCCAGCCCCAACTGGCATATATTATAATATGTGTTTGAGGAATCTTTTTAAAGTCCTGATAATATTTTTCTTCAAACATCTGATTCTTCCTAGACATTGTGGTATGCACCTGCAATCCTAACACTACTCAAGAGGAAAGTGAGTTCAAAGATAGTCTGGGTTACACAGAGAGACTGTCTCAGAAACAAGCAGGGACAGGCAAGGTGACTCATACCTGGAACTCCAGCACTTAGGAGCCAGCTGAGGGGAGAGGATAGTTTCAAGTTCCAGACCAATCTGGTTTACACAGAAAGTCTGAGGTCAGCCAGGTGTAAGGAAGACCCCTTGTCACAAAAAGCACAAAAACCAAACAGGACAAAAGAAAACCCCCACTATCCCCTCAAAGAACGCAAACAAAACAACCAACCAACCACAAAAACAAACAAAACCATACACACACAAAACCCATTCAATTCTTGAATTATTAATGGCATTAAACTACAAAATTAATTAAAGCTCACTAATTTTATGCTAATAGTGTCTGGCACGTTATTGCTGAAAGTCTCCTCTGTGTACAGTACTTTGTAAGTTAAAGGTTAAGCATATTGTATCATCATGCCCATTTTAAAAGATTCATACACACGAGAGTCTATTTTGACACAAAGCCAAATGAAAATTCTGTTCTATGTACTGAACTGAATAATTTCATGAAGACCCAAAAAAACAAACACAAGAACATAAAGGCGAGTTACAAGACAAGAAATTAGAGCTCTGCAATTAAAAACAAGCCATGAAACACCTATTTGGGACCAGGAGAGGTGCTTCCTTCCGAGTTTGACAATTATAGCTTGATTCCCGGAATCTGAATGGTACAGGAGGAGAGAAGTGACTCCCTCAAGTTGAACTGTCCTCCACACGTGCACCAACATTAACAACACACACAAACATTTTAAAGATATTTATTGTTTAAATGTGTGTGTGTGTGTGTGTGTGTGTGTGTGTACGTACGTGTGTACAGGTGGCAGAGGGGGACAGAGGTTTTGGATCCCATGGAGCTGGAGTTACAGGTAGTTGTGAGCTGCCTGATGTAGGTGCTGGTACCTGAACTTTCCTCTACAAGAGCAGCAAGTGCTCTTAACTGCTGAGCCATCTCTCCAGCCCCATGCATTTTTATTTTTTTTTTCCAGGAGAAACCCAACCAATATATTCTGGAGCTGGAGAGATGGCTAGGAGTTATATATCCTGCAAAATATCTTTAAAACTTGAAGAAAAAGACATTTCAGAATAAGCACCAAGTAAAGCAATTCACAATCTCCAGCCCAGTATCTGCAGAAGATCATTAAAGGAAACCCCAGACAGAGAAGTTAGAAAGACAAGCCCTTCATCACTGAGGGCAAGAATACATTTGAGCTTGTGAGAAGTTAAAGACAATGTACACAGTAATTTTCCACTTTTAAAATAGCATCTATCAGTTACCTATATAGAAAATTTTTAAATTCGGTATATGCATGCACGCACGCACATACATTTTCCAAAGCCAGCCATTCAAGTAAAGGACTAGCACTCTTGGTGAATTGCCCCCTTCCCCATAAACTGCATCCTGTTTGGAAAGCTCAAATCGGCAAGACTGCCCCCCTATTAAAAACTGTCACGTTAAGGCCGGGTGTGGTGGTGCATGCCTTTAGTTTCAGCACTTCTGGGAGGCAAATGCAGGTGGATCTCTGTGAGTTCAAGGCCAGCCTGGTCTACACAGTGTGGTG